CTGTCATAATATTTTATTACACACGGTTTACATGATTTCTCAAGGAACGGTGAATCCCAACTTTTATTTCGTTGACATGTAGCAAGTGGGCATCTAGCGTTTGATGTAGTGATTCAATGACACATCAATGCACATCGATACTTAACATTCACGTAACTGCGCATAGGAAACAAACATTTAAACATTGTAAATGTTGTGGGTTTACTCTTCAACACACCGGTGTGCTCACGTAGTAACTAATTTACGTGACAAACCTTACTAATTGGCTGTGTCAGGTTTGCGGCGGATTTAACGACGCATTTATATTTACGGGATCTAATCCAACAAAAAACCTATTATAGATAATATGGGTTGCGAAAGCCTACTACGTGTTAAACATGATTTAATTATTTGATTGCAACACCTTGGTGGGTTGTCAATGGCGGCTTACTCAAGTGACATTTCATGTGTTTGTGGAGAGATTGTGAAATATCTTTTTTATTTACATTCTTTGAAGGTTTATTTTGTATTTTTGCGAAGAAGTCAAGTTTTATTTATGAGACGAAGTGCCATGTCCAGTCATGGTTAGGGATACTATTGTGACATTTGTGTGTGGTAATATTATTTTTCATGATGCCCCTTACCTCTTTTATGATGAATGACTTTCAAAGTTGTTTGTGCACCATTTCCACCACGTGGCCCTGAGGCCATTTGGGTCAACTCTGCCTTGCCTTTTGGTCCGGATTGGGGAATGGCTTTTCAGCGCTTGTGGGTTTTTTTTTTTGGTAACTATCACCATAACCACGATTGCTTTTGATGCACCTGCTGCCTTTGCCATCAACCAAGTCACACAAGGGATTTTGTTGTTTATTTTTGTCTTCTCCCCCAAATTAATCTGGGGTACGCGTCACGAGCCCCAGAATATACTCGCAACTCTCGCAATAGCAGTTAGAGCGTGGTCCCGCAGAAGCGGATATCACACAACTAAATTTCGATTTAAAGCTTTCGTGACTGCAGGGATTCATCTTCTTGGTTCTTTCGGTAAAGTCACGTAGAAGGGAAATAATAAAATAATAAAAAAAACATGATAAAATAATTCTCACGACGTTTCGGCCACAACGCAAGCAGCCGTCCTCAGGTGAAGAACAGGTCTGTTTTATTATTATTTTATTATTTCCCTTCTACGTGGCTTTACCAAAAGAACCAAGAAGATCACACAACTATTTATGAGATCCCTTCGAGTGACCTTTGATCCACGCACTAACAGGCAACACTTTTCCCACCTGCCCCACCGCAGAGAGTAATGTTTATCACATGACAGTCTCACCAATATTTTTAATTTTTCAGATGGAATATTGCCAAATGAGGTGCAGAACCAAATTTATTTTTATGGGTTTTTTTGTTGTTGTTTGTTATGGGCTGAGACGATCAACTCTTTAAACTTGAGAGCCTGGTTTTATTCCCCGGTGGCTGCCAGGATTCGAACACAGAATTTCAACAGTGCCACAGATCAACGCCCTGACCTCTGTACCGCCGGTTATATTTCACAACCGCTGATTGATTTCGTACCGGGGATATCCCTAACGTCATTAAATTGGGATTATAAACAGGATGGCAATTGTCTTCTCGAATTGTTTGGGGGCCATATATGTTTTTATGGTCATCATTGCCTATCAGGTTTTATAATATTACATGTACATTTCAGTTTATAATCAATATCAGCTCCCAAAGTTTAAAACTATCTTCCTCCTTTAGCTGTGTATCTGTGTGTGAATGTATGCGTTAGGTTTTAATTATTATAATTCTATTACTGGCTTATTTATTGTCGGCATTTTCACGTGATGAAACAAGAGAGACGGTGTGACTTATGTGTCTCCGCATGCACACAAACTCACATCGCTGCATCAAAATGGGCACGTGTGTAGCTGCTATTTAATAGGGCGTTACATCACAAGTCCGCGAGAGATGGCGATGCAGTGGATAGATCGTGACCGACCCGTGTGCATCAATGTTGCACATTCCAAGTTACATTTCTACAACGTTTTTAGTCACAAGCGGGCTTTGCAATTCTCCAGAACCGTTGTATACGACTTTACACATTTAGTTTCACCCACATAGAGACGAAAAAAAAACCAAAGAATCCCCCGTGTAGCCTTAACAGACTTTTTGGGGCAAGTGCTGTTATCGAGTTAGTGTCACCCTATAAAGTTCGGCACGGCACACAAGAGGAGAGGGCTGGGTGGCCACCACCACCACCACACCAGACTGCTTTTATCTCCCTAGTGGCGATGTTTACGCCCCACACCAGCCACTCATTCGAGACCGAGTCGACACAAACACACACACACACGTTTGGGTTGTTTCCTGTTTGGAGAAGTTGAGATAGGTGTTGTTCTTCTTCTAATTGAAACAAGCCCTTCACGAATGCCCGTTCCGTTCGCCACTCCGCCTCGACATTGCGGTGCCCCCAGTCCACGGCCTCCCCCATGCCGCCAACGCCACCACCCAGCCCCCCTCGCTGGGGCCTTCGACTGTACAGGACGCTGTCTTTATTTAGAAACTCGGGGGGGTGCGGCTGCTGCTGCTGCCAAGGGTACAACAACAGCAGCAGCAGCTGGTGGTGAGAGTGGGTGGGGGAGTGGTGGCGCAGCGGTTAGCGCTACGCTGCCACCACGAACCTGGCCGGCCCGAGTTCGACTCCCGCTGACGGCCAAACAACGGTGACGATTATCTGAGCCGGTGAGAAATGTGACGTCACATAAAAATGCGCAACTTTAAATAAATATAGACAACACGTTCTACTTAATTAAATAGACTTTTTAATAAATGTTTTCTCCTACAACATCAGAGTGCAGCGCCACATTAAATACGCACTACAATGACAATAGTTTAAAACGATTTGAAGCTTGTTTTATTTGGGGGGGGGGGGGGGCAGAGCTTTGTGACGTCATATTTGAGGGGGAGGGGGTCTGACTTTTTGTGACGCCGTGTGACCTGGCGAGGGGGGGGGGGGTCAAAAATCGTCCAAAATCGCGTGACGTCATTTATGGACGGCCCCTAAGGCGCTTGCGGCAGATCCGAATTCAACAAAACATATAATCCAGCAGGCAAGGACTCGGAACTGTTACTGAAAAAATAATGCAATCAGTTGTTGAAAGCAATGTTTTTTTTTAAGAATCGATACGTTCGTCAACAACAACTGTGACCTCACAAAAAAAGTACGGTAATAGGCGGACGTTTCAGACAATGGCCCTTTTCATAGCACGTTAAAAAAAAGGGAATGCGTTGAGTCTCGTTATGACAGTATTTGTGCTTTTGCGCACTCCTGCCAACGCAGCAACTTCACCAAGCAATTAGTTTCATGTTGAAAACTCCGCATGTTGGTGTGAAACCGCTATACATGGGGCTGTTTGCCAGTTGAGAAAGATAACAAGTGTAGCTTGTACACCATTGGAACCTCATTTGCCAGTAAAAAATATGATATTTGTTTTTTTACCCTTCTATCTGGCAACAAAACTGACACCTTTTTTTTACAAGGAGTCATGTTTGCATAGACCACAATACCTGCAGTCATAATGCAAAAAAAAACATAACTCTAACCCATGTGAGACTAGGCTCTAAGGAAAGCTGTCTCGGGTGTGGACCAATCAACTTCAAGGACAGTGCATACATTATCAGAGTTATGTTTTTTGTTTGCATTATGACTGCAGGTATTGTGGTCTATGCAAGCATGACTCCTTGTAAAAAAAAGGTGTCAGTTTTGTTGCCAGATAGAAGGGTAAAAAAACAATTATCAAGTGTAGCTTGGTTCGAAAAGCAGCAAGCACGCCGGTTCCCATGGGCACATTACATACACCTCTTGTGGCCTTGGGCTGCAGGTTTTCCCCACCCTTGATATTGAAGAACATTTCCGTAATTTCATGGTCGCATAAAATGATAACGCAGCCATGTGGATAGCACCGCCGCTTCCCGCCGATTGTCAACGACATATCTCATTTGATTTACGATATTGCATAGAATTCACCCACGCGATGTTGTAAACGAACGATGTAGTTTATACCAGCATGTAGGATTCGCTTACGATGTCTCTTGTTGCATTGAGTTTACGTAAGTGATGTTTATCGACAAGCGTTCAAGTATCTTTTCCCGCACCTCCGATTAGCATGGTTGGCTATGTACGATGCGAAAGAAGTTTAACAAGTTCAACATACACTTTCAAGGTATATATTACCTCCGCTCTTCACAAACTGCTGCAGTGCATGTTTACATTTTTTTTGTCTGTACTGTAGTTTAAAATAAGACCAGCCCAAATAAAATCAAACAGATGGTGTCTTGTACATGCGCACCTAGGCTGAGTGTCCCGTGCTGTCCAACACATTATTGATACATTCTTGATTAAATAAAAAATACTTTAAAGTCATGGGCAGGAGCGTCTTTATGGTACTTTAGTGATGTCACAGTCACGTGGCTATGGTATGTGTTAATGCAAAGTCAAAGCAACGACAATACTTACCATGATTTTGAAGTTTTTGGTTTTGTTTTCGTTATTGAAGCTGTAACCTTTTGTTGAATGGCCAGGGGTGGATTTGGCCAGCCACTTGGCAAGTAACAGTTCAGCCACCCAACCCTGGGTTCATGATTCATATCAATAATCAGTCCCTCTCCTGAACTCGTTTGTCCTGTCTTGGTTGTAGTGTACGTCTCGTTTGTTCTATTGATTTTTTTAACTGATGTGTTGATGATGATTGTTTTTGACGGATGCGTTGATCACACATTTTTGACGGATATGTTGATGATTTGGCGCATGGGTTAATGGTAACTTTTTCAACGGATGTGTCGATTTATTATTTTGACGGATGCATTGATGAATATTTTGGGAGGTTTTAGGGACGTGTTAACGATTTATGTATGCATGTAGAACTTCTTTCGCACCGTACGTAGCCAATCGTGCTCATCGGACAACCAGGTGCGGAAGGACAACCAACTTAACACACGTTTTGGCTGGTGCGTTGTCATTCCAGGCGACTGCTGGCTGCTGGCGGCTATCGCCTCCCTGACGCTGAACGAGAAACTGCTGGCGCGAGTCGTACCCTCGGGCCAAGAGTTCACCGGTGGCTACGCCGGTATCTTCCATTTCCAGGTGCGACAACTTCACAATCAGATTCTTATATTTGTGATAAAGAGCTTTCACTTTATCACAGATGGCCAGTAAGGGGTGCGGTGTCAAGACGTTACAGCAACGAACAATACAAAAAAACACGACAGTAGTGCAAAGTACAACAAAGGTGAACAAATCACCCAAAAATATACAAATAAAACTAAACCATCCCCACCCCACCAGGCAAAGCCCACTGAGGTATGAACTTATTTTTTATTTGCAAACTGGCCACAAATGATAGCTCAAAAAAGTGGCTTGTCAGTTGGACATTTATAGCAGCTAAAAAATCTAAATAATAAACGACACATTTATAAATAACGCGATCTAACCCAAAACCTTTATTATGAGCAACCTGTGTTTTACGTTTGTGCACGCAACGATCCACGCTGTAGCTACACTATCTCTCGCCTTGACCCAACCCCAGTGTTTGCACGCACACACCACAATTGTACAAACACAAGAACATGACAGCTGCAAACAGAATGGTGTTAGCCGAAGTGAAATATCAATTGATAAATTATTCTTTGCTCAATAGGACACTGTTACAATCCCTGCATTGATATGTGAGGTGGGCTGTACTGAGCAAACAAAGTGGCAGGGCCTGCTGTGCCCCAGCCGTGAACTGGAGCTCTTTGGCGATGTCCGGGACAACCGCGCTGAGCAAATACCAGTGAGCAGTGGCGGCAGGCGATTGCGTTACATCACCGTAGGCGAAATTGGCAATTGCCGCCATCCAACGATTTCTCAACTGGGGCCGGCGCCGTGGAAAGCCACGGGGAGGCGTTCCAACGCGAGTTGGCCCGAGGAACTGCACGGGGCGTTTTTATTTTCCTCGCCCGTCGTTGTGTCATCGCGTGCCGCGCCGCGCCGCCCTGACCCGCGCTGCGCGATCCCCGCGACCCGGTTTTTTCGAGCTCCCCGTGCGTGCATCACGCAGTCCGCGGTTGTTGCACGATGCCCACCTAACCCAGGCTCTTCATCCTTGGTCGGCTGAGCCAAACATTAAACGCCCATGACCCGCTGCCGTCTTCAGCGACCCGTGAATTAGTTTGTAATGTAGAGCAGCACAAATTTTGGTGAAAAAAAATCTCTTAACGTATGTACGTACGTCTGTATGTATGTATGTTGAACTTCTTTTGCACCGTATGTGGCCAACCGTGCTAATTGGAGGTGCAAACGTGCTGTGGTGTGGTCAACATCACAGCACCACAGTAGCCTCCTGTGCAGCGCCAGCCATGATGGGTGCTTGATAACAGCGCGACCCACAAGAGTGAATCTACAGTCTCCAAGTGGAATTTTTCACTTGCAAATAAATGGCATCATTCTGCCTATACTTAAATAACTATGTCTCCATCTGTCTTGATTTAACCAATCGCCCTCAGCGATTTCATAAAATGTTCACAGTGCTGCATTGCAACTTGATGAAATAATTGATTATTGGTTTAACACTGTTGTGAATATAGCGGCTTCTAATAGTTCGAAGGGCCAAATGAAACTTGTATACAGCGTATACGAAAATGAAAAACATCAATTCTTACGCAGGTAAGTCGATGTGTGCCATGAGCTTAAAGATTCAATATTCATCATTAGATTACTTGTTAAAGCCCTAATATATCTCTCTATGTCGATCTGTCAGTTTATCTACGAGTTCATTCATATATCTACGGTCAACTCTTGATTATCCTGGGGAATGAGAGGCATGACCTGGATAAAAGACACACAGACACACACAGACACGCGTATACCGTATACATTTGAGTGCGTAACGGCGCTTGTGGATGGTGTCTGCCGGTGGCGTGCGTCTCGCCGGGGCCAGTTCTGGCAGTTTGGCGAGTGGGTGGACGTGGTGATCGACGACCGCCTGCCCGTCAAGTCCGGGGAGCTCGTGTTCGTCCACTCGGCCGAAGGGAACGAGTTCTGGAGCGCGCTGCTCGAGAAGGCCTATGCCAAGTGAGTGTGCTCGCGCTCTCGTGCTCGCGTCGCCCCCCCACGTGAGCCTCTGGGCACGTTGAGCAAGTGCCCCTTGGTCCGTCTGCCCATGCGTGAGAGGGGTGGCGCAGCGGTTAGCACGCTGCGCTACGAACCCAGAGACCCGAGGTCGATTCCCGATGAAGACTAACGCCGGTGACGATTATCTGAACCCTCTTTTACGTCCACTCAGCCTCAGATGAGTACTTGGTGTGGTGTGTAAACATAGCCACTAGGGAGACAAAGGCGGCCGGGTATGGTGCTGGCCACCCATGCCCTCGTGTGCCGTGCCGGCCTTCATAGGTACTACCCACTAACAGCACTTGCCCCAACAGTCTGTTCAGGCTATACGGAGGATCGTTGTCTTTGCTGCTAACGAAGTAGGTTTGTGTGAAGGTGAGTCGTTTTGTCAGCTGACGCATGGGTTCGTGGGTACAGTAGCTTATGTATTTACAGATTTGTATGTTGAACTTCTTTTAGCACCATATGTATGAAGCCAACCGTACTAATCTGAGGTGCGGCATGTATGTACATGTGATGTGATTCATGTGCATTTGAAGATTAGCTTGAAGGTGTGTGTGTGTATAAGTAGACTCTAGAAGATATCCTTTATCTCTCTTCAGTTACGATAAACCTGGGGGCGAAAGATAATACAAAATGTAAAAAGCTATTAGGCATTCTGTCGATAACTCGGGTAAAGTGTTTGGGAGCAGTGGCACAGCAGTTAGCGTGCCACGCGATGAACCCGGCGACCTGGGTTTGAATTCTGGCTCCAGCTAATGTCAGTGGTGAGTGGCTTAAAAGAATGGATTAATAACGTCGACATTGACAAGGAACGTTGCACATTTCACCTCGTCATACGAAGGAAGAAGATGTGGCAAGTGATATTTGAACCGGTCCCGGGCCCTCCCCTAGGTTGATTGACCCTTAAATTAGTACCTGGTGCAAGTCTGTAAGCACTGGGGAAACAAAGGCATCTGGGTGTGGTGCTGTCAACACCTTAATTGGTGCTCACTAATAGGATTTGTTCCCAACAGTCTATTTAAGGCTGTTACTGGAGATATTTGTCTGTACAAGAAAGTGGGCCTGCTTGTCTTTTAAGCTGCTTGCCGTGTATAAATAGATCTCTCTTGTAAATAAACCACTCGGTCAGCACTGTACCGCATAGCTGACCATCCCTGTACGAGCTTTAAAAATCCGAAATCAAGTGTGGTCCCTTGGTGCCACGGTGCCAAGATGTTAACTACCTCGCCTGGTAGACAGGAGGTCGTGGGTTTGATCCCGACCCTCACGACTGAATATTTGGAATTTGCACGGTCTCCCTGTGGTCGCATGGATTGTTCTCGGGGTCCCCTCCGGATTTTCCCTCCACATTTAGAGACATGCATTTAGAGTATTTGGCTGCTATAAATGTCCACGTGATAAGCCACTTTGTTGAGCTATCATATGTGGCCAGGTCGCTTCTGAAAAAGAGTTATATCGCTCCGTGGGCCTTACCAGATTAAATAAAAATGATTTGTTTTGTTTTGTATCGTTTTAGAAAGGCATGATACTTAAATGCATTCATTCTTATGTTTTATCTCAAGCTGACGCTACAAACATTGCATTTCAATGAATAAATGCTGTCTGAGATGGGTTCGCGCGATCGCCCCCTTCTCCTCCCTGGCAGCCGCTAGCGGCCGCTACTTCCACCGCACAACATGATAACGACGATAATGAATAGATTCTTGAGTCAAATCGTGACCATGAATCGCCAAACATTCCCGCCAAACATTTCGCCCTCTTAAAAACCAACGTAAACTTTTGTGAAGGACTTTCAATTTCGCAAGCCGGAAGAACCATATTGAGTACGTGGAAGAATCACGAATCCCCCCCCCCCCTCCCGTAGTCAATGGTTGTGTATTCATTAGGTCCAATCTCAGCACTGGAGCATCTGAGCTATAAGCTCAGAGACAAGGAAGACTATACAGCACACGCATGGGGTCCTTTTCTAAACCTTAAGCCAGTCATAAATACCTGAGCCAGAATGGCAATGATGTGGAATGAAAGATATTTTATTTTTAAAAAACGTTGACAACAGCGATACGCGTGGTGTCATTCGGAGACGAGAGAAGACCCGGTGCGCGTTTCGGCAGATCTGCTGAGCAAAAGAGAAACCAACACAAATGATGAAATTAAAATTAATAAAAATTGCCTGCCTCACTTGATGCAGCAAATCTGGCTGTGGCAGTCCCACCTGATGACGGAGACTTGTGTTGCCTCCGAAGCGTCGTGATTTTTATTTTATTTTTTATTAATTTTTATTTAATTTTTTACCTACGTGACTTTACCGAAAGAACTAAGAGTATGAATCCTTGCAATCACGAAAGCTTCAAATCTATAATCAACACAAATGAGTTAACTTATTAAAACCACAGCGACGTCGCCCCCTGCTGGCAGACTGTACGCGTCTGTGAAACCCGGCGCCTTCTTCCACAATCGCCTCGCGCTATGAGAATGGCGCAAATAACAGATGTTCCAAAATTGTTACTAAAGTTCATTTCAGTTTATTTTGAAGTACCCTGTGAGCCAGGGAGCTCTTGAATCGTGTTTCATCAACAAAAACAACACCGCCGCCACTTCTCCGACAAACGCAACAAGTCACAGTAAAATAAATAAAAACCCAAAAAGACAGATAAACAAAAAAATTTCTTGCAAATCCTAAGTGCAATATATATTTTTAAAAATGTAAAACAAAAATTATTTCTAGTTATAATTCACAGTGCAGCGCTTAGCACCAAACATTCTTCTCAGTCCCCCGTGCAGGATGTGCTTCTGAGCCCAAGGCAGCGGCAGAAACACACAGATGGATTTGACCCCCCCTCTCCTCTCTGGCACAAGCGATGCATTTCGCATGCACGGAGGAGCCCCCTTGTTTTGTTTATAGCCAATTGTGCTTCGTGAGCCCTTTGCTCAGAGCCTGCGTTTGTTGCGTTCAAAAATGTTATTTATCTGTTCGCAGTGAGTGTGCCACCCCCCCAGCCACCCCCCTCGCCCCCTGCTTGGTGAGCTAGTTGTGCGTGCATTATTAGCAGAAGCCTTCTTTAAACGTTGGCGTTTCATCTGAATTCTCAACTTCGCTGTATTTTTTAAAATATTATACATGGGTAACAAAAAGGCGGTGTTAGCCGGGCCAAGAAAATCGGGTGCGTTAAAACATCGTTGTTTTTTTCGATTTAAAGCTTTCGTGACTGCAGGGATTCATCTTCTTGGTTCTTACGGTAAAGTCACGTAGAAGGGAAGTAATAAAATAATAAAAATAAAACATAATAAAATAATTCTCGACAGACCTGGTTTCACCTGAGGACGGCCGCTTGCATTGTGGCCGAAACGTCGTGAGAGTTATTTTATTATGTTTTATTTTATTATTTTATTACTTCCCTTATACGTGACGACTTTACCGAAAGAGCCAAGAAGATCGTTGTTTTTTGTCCGAATGCGATGCGCGCTGAATGTGAAACGCGGCCGATCGATGCGGCGAGTAGGACGAGGATGACCACACAGCTGTTGAGAGCTGCTGTGGTGGTGGCGGCGGCGGAGATGACGATTGGAAAGCCCTGACGCAAGTGTGACAACGAGAGGTCGCTGAAAGAGCAAGGTTGCATCCCGTAATAAAAATACAAGTATTTTGGACGCTTAGCCACAGGCGTGGTGGCGTGCATACGTTTAACGTAACGCCGTTGAAGGAGGGAAAAAAGGAATGGATGTAGATGGAGACGAAGCTGGGCAGGTTGCATTGTAAATGTCACCGGGATGGGAGTACAGTACGGTGCTGTATACCAATGATGTCACGGCAAGGCCCAACGTTGCAGAGTTGGGTCGCTTCATCGTTGAGGTCACAAATACTCAGTGATAAGTAGAACGACATGCTATATATATACGCTGTACGTAACAAATGGAATGCACTGTCTTTTTAGCCATAATTTCCCTAAATTCTTGTCCTTAAGCTGTAGCTCAACCTTGTTTACATTTTACCAGTCGGATGAGCAACGGCTTAGTTCGCATTGGAATAATAAAGACTGGCAAATGTAATAAGGTGGACTGTGGTTAGGGCGTGGGGACTGGACTTTGAGAATGTCAAAGTTAACAGTCCACTGCCAGCGGTGAAAATATTCAAACCTTTTTGCTAATTCACCGACTCTCCGTGTGGCCCATACATCTTAATTGGAAACAGATGTCCACTGTGCGACCTTTGGTCGTGCCTGGTGAGGTTTAGGCAAGCCTGGTCCAGCTCACTCCAAAACCAAACCGGTTTTCAGCTGGGGTTACATTCAAAAGTTAAGGAAGAAAAGCAAAACTTGCATCTTTTAAAGTTGCCGCTTCAAACTGGTTTTTGGAAGAAGAAGCAGCGGCGTAGCGCTTGAGCGTATTTCGCCATTAACCCGGCGACTTCAGTCCAAATCCGAGCCATGGCTCACATCAGTGGCGAGCGACATCTGAACCGGTCCTGGGCAGCCATGGCATCAACTCGCCCTGACCGGCCGTGGTGAAATATTGTCAAAAAACACTCCCCTTGCCCAAAACGCGTGGGGAGGGCCTTCATCCAAACCGTTATTAAAAACATCCAACATCTGTTTAACACGTAGGCTTTCACGACCGTTATTATCCATAATAGAGGTTTTACGAGTTCTAACACAAAAAAAACTATTATGGATAACTTGTACTCCTTTCGCAGCCTCCCCTGCTTTGGGTAGGCTGCCGAAGGAAGTTTGTGGGCCTCGTGTGAATTTGTGGGCCTCATGCCCAGTAATCCGGGGACACTGGGTCCGGCCTCGCACGTTGCTGGTGAGAGAGGGTGGCGGATCCCTCGCTGCCGTAGCCAATGACCCCCGTTCACTGTCCGGAGAGAAGCAGTGCTCGGTTTGCTTGTGTTGTCGCTCTGGAGGCCGGGAGATTTTTGGTCACCACGTTGATGGCATTCGTCGTGGGGCCCGCGTAAAGACTGCCATCTGGTTTCGAGCCACTTGGCTGGGCTCATTGTTCTCATGCTGCAGCTGTGTTTTTGTTTTTGTACATTCACGTATGCTTCGTTGCTAATAATAACAAGAATGACAATGTCTTCGAGCGATGTAGCGTGGCACTGCAAGGGTGTTGCCACCGTCTTAGTTTGCACTGTCATTGAAATGCACGCCTTATGATGGTTCGAGAGTCGATGCGCGTCTCTCTAAGTCGTTGGTAGCAGCATCGTCACCATCATTATCAATGTGCATCATCACATCGTAAGGTCAACCTCGTCATAGGAATGTTGAGTTCTCGCAATAAATCTTGTGACCAGCTCACGGAGGCGTTGCATTTGCCCACGGTCCATTTTAAGATGGAGCCACTTATGACATTCATACGATTCTGTGTATGTCGTGAGATTTTTAGAAAACTTTTTAATTAATCTTTTAAAGCAGCAGCGGTAATAGTGTAACCCATATGCGTCGGATACTTAATGTGCTGTGTCGGTCACAACATGTGCCCACGTTTAGCCACCACACCCACACTGTGAGCAAAAGCGTGCTCGCCCGTCGTTGCATCATGCATAAATTAACGAGCTCGGGAAATGTAATATCGCCGTGCGTGGCCCGTGACGCTTCAAAGACCATTACGGCAAAGTTAAATAAACCCCGCCTCCATGGCTTGCAGCAAACACACACACACACGAGATAATGAAAAATAATGTTGACAACATCCACACGTGAGGAGGTGCAGATGTGGTGCAGATCTAAACGCAGCTTTGGAGCAGCAATCCATTTCTCTAACATTTGCCCTCTGCCCTCTGCCCCCCCCCCCACGTGCAGAATGAACGGCTCGTACGAAGCCCTGACCGGGGGCAGCACGAGCGAGGGCTTTGAGGACTTTACGGGCGGTGTCACCGAGACGTTCACCCTCTCCAAGGCGCCCCATAACCTCTGGAAACTCCTCAACCAGGGCGTGCAGAGAGGCTCGCTCATGGGCTGCTCCATCGACGTACGCAAGCCCCGCTCCTCCACTTGCTCGCTTGCCCGCCTCCTCACCCAGTCGCTTGTTTATTATACTCGCTCATCTCGGCCATTCACCCGCCCGCTGACTCGCCTGTTCGCTCACACGCACGCTCGCACGTTCATTCGTTCACCCGCTTATTGACTCGTCTGCTTCCGCAACCTTTAGCTAATTTACCTGCTCGCTCGCTCGCTCACTCATCCGTGCGCTCGCTCGCCTACTTGCCCACTTGCTCGCTCTCTCGCGCCACAGCCAGCCATGCGCACTCACAAAGGCGCCCTTGTTGGACACTTGGCATGAGTGCGAGTGTCTTGTTATTTGGCACGAAGAAACCAGCGGGAATGGAGCGATTCAGTGATAATAATAATTATTAATAAAATCCTATCTGTTGGGGGGTTTTACTGCGCGTGAGGGTTTCTCACTGGCATTCTATAGCGGGCGTCTAGAAAACCATGCTCACACTTGGGGTTTCTTCGAGACTGCTGACGGAACGGCAGCCAAAGGAGGGAGCTTGGTCGAGAGTTCCACCGCGGCAGAGGTGGGACTGCTGAGATCAACTCCGTGAGATGGATTGTGGCATCACGGACACGTGTCGGGTGACAGCGAAGGCATGGAGAGGCCTCTTGACCTAGCAGTGGATAGACAATGGCTGACTATAAAGTCGATTATGATGATGGTGGTGGGGAGGAGGCTATTATCCAGAAGTTAATACACATTTTACTGATTTATTTGTTGTGATCACTTTTTAGTTGTTTGTGATTTTTATTTTGGTGCCATTTCTGAATTTCGTTTTACATTTTGCTTGGTCGTAGGGTTTTCATTTGCTTGGTAGTAGCTGCACATGGGATTTGGTCCTTATATATCATTAATGTACAGCGTTATGGGATGCTTTTAGCATGAATGACGCTATACAAAATTAAAGCATTGTTATTATTATTTTGGGATGTACCACAACGCGACTCACGAGCCTTGCCGCTGGGCTCTCGAGGTCTGTGATGCCTGCCGCTAACCAATCGCGTTGGAATGTGCCGCGAGGTTTGGAACGTTCGCCAACCGGTTCAAGCCTGACTTGACATTATAATCGGTTCGTTCGTGACTTGACAAAAAGCCGCCATGCCATTTTCGTGACTTGCGGAATCAATCATTGATTCTGAAAACGATGGTCGCACATTTCACGACCGCAGTTGCTATTGAAGAAGTGATTTGTATCTGCGCAGTCTGTTTGTGTATGAGGAGCAGTGGTGCAGTGGTTAGTGCACTGCGCTACGAACCCGGGCACCCACGTTCGATTCCCGCTTGTGGCCAACATCGGTGACGGGTATGAGAGCCGGTCCTTGGCCCTCCCCTAGGTCGACTCGGCCTTAAAAACGAATACCCGGCACTGGGGAGACAAAGGTGGCCGGGCTTGGTGCTGGGCACCAACCCCAGCTTGTGCCATGTTGGCCTTTCATAGGTGCTCGCTAACAGCACTTGCCTCAACAGTCTGTTAAACGCTACTGTATATGGTTGATCTTTGGTGCCTTTCAGTTTTAATCGATTCTGTCTGTTCCTGTTATTCCCGCGAACAGATAACGAGCGCGGCCGACACGGAGGCCATCACGACGTGGAAGCTGGTGAAGGGCCACGCCTACTCCGTCACGGGTGTGGACCAGGTGCGAGCTTCTCGGTGGTTAGGAGATGTTACCTACCTCGCCTGGTGTACAGGAGGTCGTGGGTTCGATCCCAACCCTGACCCCTTGTATGTTTGGAGTTTGCGTGTCTATCTCCCCGTGAGCGTGTGGATTTTTCTCCGGGTCCTCCGGTTTTTTCCTCCACATTTAGAATCGACACGCACTTAGGGTGTTTGCCTGCTATACATTTCCACGTGATAAGCCGCTCCGTGGAGCTATCATTTGTGGCCAGAACGCGTCTGAAAAAGAGCCTTGCCCAGTTTTTTTAGTTTCATAAAAAAATAGTTTCTCGCCACACCCCTGGCCGTGATTAATCACCTTCCGGCTGGCGTCCCTCGTGAACGCCGCCTCGACACCGAACGCAAAATGCACCGAGCTGCTGTGTCGGGCAACGTGGACCAGAGAACGGACGCAGCACGGTGACGTTGTCGTGCTGGCTGTTAAGAGAGCATGCGCTCAAGGGGGAGCCGATGGAGAACGCGTCGGTTCTGCAGTTGACGAGAAAAGCCTAACGCAACGGAAATAATAGCGCAGGCTGGAATACCACAAGTTTCAAACGACACGCAAACACGTGTAAAAAGCACAACTGCCTTTGTACATAATGGGAAAAACCATCGGCAGTACCTGAAGAAGCACAGGTTTCCCTCGCTTTATGTGGCAAATGGCGCACAAAGCAAAGCCGCACGAGACAGCCGTCTGCCGATTAGCGCACGGTACACTCGCAATGCTGTCCCACGTCCGACCGCGCAGCCGCACGTGAGTGAATTCAAACCGCACCGTCGAGCGGATATTGGTTCAAATGGGTTAGCCACTTGCACGGTGCGAAAATCGCACTCTCTGGTCTTAGGTCACCTTCAGAATAAATTTTCACAAATTTCTGGCGGCGTGTGTGCGGGCAGGTGTACCACAACGGAGGCATGGTGAAGCTCGTCCGTATCCGAAACCCCTGGGGCCAAGTCGAGTGGGTCGGCCCGTGGAGTGACAGGTATTACTCGTCCTGCTCGGCTGCTCGCTCGCTCGCTCTGCCGCTCGTCGACCGTCTCGCTCCCCCCCACCCCCCTCGGCCACCAATTTGGTTCGCTGCCCACTCACTCACCCACCCGCCCAACCTGCTCGTGCGCCCTGCCTCTGTTGCTCGCTCACACCCCCCCCCCCCCCCCCCCCCCGTGCACATTGCGGGTGTTCGCGAGATATTCCTGAACGATTGGCGCGTTGCTAAATGTTGGCCCGGTTGTATGGCAATGTTTACGCCTGACATGTCGTGGATCATTAGGCCAATGATGACGTCTACATCGTTGGCATTTTGTGGTGATGGGCAGGCCTAATTCTGGGGATGAGAGAACAAATGTTCACATGCTCCGAGGTGTAAATCTCTGAGGAAGCCCAAGGCATCAGCTGTTTGCCTTACAGTTTACGAGGACTTAAAAAAACAAAAGCACGGATGTAAACATTTTGACAGATATTAGCTCATCTGATGTGTGTGTAATTAACTTTAAAATGCTAGATCGTCACGATTAAACATAGAATCATAAGAAGGGTTGTTTCCCTCTTGCTCAGAGGTGAGACTCCTTGGCAGGTACCACAGAAATATCCTGAGTTTCGCATCCAGTTTTCAGCAGTCCATGATTGGATACGTAAACAATCGGCGACGTTTTGGGAAGTAGTCCTCCTTCACAGCATTCTAATTTATATTTTATTTTGAAGGCTGTGGTATTGACAAATGTGCTCAATAGTTGTATTATTCGTGCACCCAAAGCCCAACGCAGCAGCATCACTCTATTAAAATCACTCGAGTTTAAGTGGGAATGTAATTTTACAACGTAATTGTTATTATCAAGTTCTTGGTTCTTTCGGTAAAGTCACGTAGAAGGGAAGTAATAAAATAATAAAAAATAATAAAAATAAAACATAATAAAATTATTCTCACGACGTTTCGGCCACAACGCAAGCAGCCGTCCTCAGGTGAAAACCAGGTCCGTCGAGGCGACAGAGTCTGAATGAAACAGCACACGAGCTTGGAGCATATATATAAGCTGGGCGCATTGACAAAGGAATTTGCATATCAAGAGGAATTTAGCATATTCCCATAAATATGCTAAATTCAAAGGAATTTGCATATCAAGAGGAATTTAGCATATTCCCATAAATATGCTAAATTCCTCTTGATATGCAAATTCCTTTGTCAATGCGCCCAGCTTATATATATGCTCCAAGCTCGTGTGCTGTTTCATTCAGACTCTGTCGCCTCGACGGACCTGGTTTTCACCTGAGGACGGCTGCTTGCGTTGTGGCCGAAACGTCGTGAGAATAATTTTATTATGTTTTATTTTTATTATTTTTTATTATTTTATTACTTCCCTTCTACGTGACTTTACCGAAAGAACCAAGAAGATGAATCCCTGCAGTCACGAAAGCTTTAAATCAAAATGTTATTATCAAGGTTTTTTTAATGTTATTGTGGAATGCTTTGATGTCTGCCGGTCGAGTCGCTCTTGAAAAAGAGATTTTTAACTCTACTGGCTACATTTCTGATTGTGATTCTGAACTATACTGCGTTCTCAAGTGGTGTGAGTTGATGGTCTAAGACCAGTCGCCAATGAGTGCACAGAAGAAGAAAAAAAAACATAATAGCAAATTTTTGTTTGATTTTCACTTAAATTTGCTTAAATTCCAGCTCTGAAAATGCAGTATCGATTTGGACTGTCACATCATGATGATCATTGCTCGGCACAGCGGGGCAGATGGTGACGTTCTCACCCCTGTGGTGTGGATAAGAGGTCACTTGAAAATATTTAGGAAGTGCTTCTATGATATCTCCTTCCACGGGCCATTCTGTAACACGTTGGGGTGATGCACTGGCTCTGCAAGAATTCTGTGAATGGATTTTTTATTAACTCCTTGATAGTCGACAATGAAAGCACAATTAGGATATCATTGCGGAGAAGGAAACAAAGCTCCTGTCACCTTTCCGATGTAACGCACAGCCTGTGTACCATTCGCCTTTGTTCGGTGCTTAAAGGGAACACGAACAACCGATTGAAAGGCTGAGATCACTTTCCACATTAGGAGCAGGCCCCCCGCGGTGTATTTAATGCATGTTTAATGACGTATCCTTTGTACGGAGTGTGCTCCGCAATTGTGGCACTGCAGGTGCACAGCCCATCCCGTCACTGGCTGTCGGGACCTGTCGCCGGGCACTTTGGCCACGGGCCAACTCTGAGTGGGCGTACGGATTACAGAGCAGCCCCGATCGGTCTGCGGCCTGGGAATGTGCATGATGTGGTGTTGAACTACAGTGTGAGCCATTTTTAACATCTCACCGCGGTGGCGAGATGTTAACTATCTCGCCTGATATGCAGGCGGTCGTGGGTTCAATTTTGACCCTGATGCCTGCTGTATATTTTCCATTTGAATGTCTTTCTCCCTGTGGTTGTGTGGATTTTTCTCCGGATCATCCGGTTTTCCCTCCATATTTAGTATCAACATGCATTTACAGTATTTGGCTGCTATACATTTCCACATCTGCCACTCCGTTGAGCTATCATTTGTGGCCAGGTCGCTTCTGAAAAACAGCTATATAGCTTAGTGGGCTATGCCTGGTAAAATAAAAAAATAGTTACAAATAGTAGTTATGTCGGGTTAAGCTACAGTTTGATCCATTTATAGATATCCCACTAACATGAGAAGGGAGAACACTATTGAATGAACGACATTTTATTTCAAAGCCTCTACACATCACTCACAAATCCCAATACACGTGTTCAATTCTTTTCACGCTGTCCCCTGAGATATGAAGTCATCGCTTTCACGATATTCAATTACCTGTAGAGAAGTTCGCAAGAGGATCACTCTAAAGCAGTGGGATATCTGTAAATGGTTCACAATTTCGATTTAAAGCTTTCGTGACTGCAGGGATTCATCTTCTTGGTTCTTTCGGTAAAGTCACGTAGAAGGGAAATAATAAAATAACAAAAATAAAACATAATAAAATAATTCTCACGACGTTTCGGCCACAACGCAAGAACAGCTGTCTTTCCGACAGACCTGTTCTTCACCTGAGGACGGCTGCTTGCGTTGTGGCCGAAACGTCGTGAGAATTATTTTATTATGTTTTATTTTTATTATTTTATTATTTCCCTTCTACGTGACTTTACCGAAAGAACCAAGAAGATGGTTCACGATGTAGCTTAATGGGTGTGTGTGTGTGTGTGTGATGATCATCGCAGCACCATGGCCGTGCGCGGTGCTGGCCACCCGCCCCCTCGTGTGCCGCAGTACCGACCTTCACAGGCGCCACTCGCTAACAGCACTTGCCCAAACAGTCTGTGAAGGCTACACGGGGGGGGGGGTCTTTGTCTTTGTATGTCTGGCTTACGCGTGGCCCCGTCCCTCAGCTCGCGGCAGTGGAACGAGGTGTCGGACGACGATCGGGATCGGCTCATGGTCAAGAGTGAAGATGGCGAGTTCTGGTGAGTGCTCTCCTCCTGGCCATCTCTCCACCCCTTTGGCCTCTTTGGTGTCTGGCAAATTCGTGGATATCATTCGATACTCCTCCGATATGCATCGGATCGTATCATGGGCATTATGTCAGATTTGGTTATTTCAGATCCCTGTAGCCACCGGGCCAACTTGAGGCGCCACCTTCACGGCAGCGTTGAAGAGAAGAAATTGGTTCTTGAATCGTGACCCCAGAATTTATATTCCTCCTCCGTTGAAGTATTGCAGACTAGTGTGGTTTACTGTATGGGCCATAGTTTGGGTTGCATGGCCACAACCGAACTTTGGCCTGTCTTTAATGTATCTCTATGGCTGTCTGTGTATCTCTGTGGGTTTACTATGTGGTCCATAGTTTGGGTTGCATGGCCACAACCGAACTGTGGCCTGTCTTTAATTGGCGACGGCTGTCGGGTGATTAGCAATGCAGGACAATGTTCATCTTCTTCGTTCTTTCGGTAAAGTCACGTAGAATGGAAATAATAAAATAATAATTCAGACGCTGTCTCCCCGACAGACCTGGTCTTCATCTGAGGACGGCTGCTTGCGTTGTGGCCGAAACGTCGTGAGAATTATCTTATTAAGTTTTATTTTATTATTTTATTATTGTATTATTTCCATTCTACGGGACTTTACTAAAAGAACCAAGAAGATGAATCCCTGCAGTCACGAAAGCTTTAAATCGAAATTCAGGACAGTGTTGATAAAAGTGCAAGTGGTTTAACGTGCGTTCCCGCCGCCCGTCCCACCCCCGACCTCTCCTCCCGCAGGATGTCGTACGACGACTTCTTGCGCCAGTTCTCACGGCTGGAGATCTGCAACCTGACGGCGGACGCACTCTCGGACGATAATCTCCACTTCTGGAGCTCCGTGGTGCACGAGGGCAGCTGGGTGCGCGGCTGCAGCGCCGGCGGCTGCCGAAACTTCCCGGGTGAGGGTCGCTCGCTCTGCCTCTCGCTCGCTCGGCAGCCCGCTTTTTCACGCACTGGTTCATTCAATCGGTCACCGTTGCTGCACTTGCTTGCTGTCTCTCCTTCGCATGCTCGCTCGCTCGCTTGCTATCGTGCTCGCTAATTCTCTTGAAGGCGCTCGCTCTCTCGTGCGCCATGCATGTGCACGCGCGGACTCTCTCACTCGCTGTCCTCATGTGCTCATTCACTCGCTGTCCCTTTCACTCGCGTTTCCACTCGCATAGTGGCTCCCGCCCTCTCTCGGACGCTCGCTTGCACGCCGTCTCTCCCTGTCTCTTGCTAGTGCACTCTCGCACTCTCACTCATTTGGCCTTGTTGCACGCTGGGTTTTACGCTCGCTCACACACTCGCTCTTTCCCTCGCGCCGCAGGCTCGTGCCCGTGGGTCCTCGAATCTCATTATTTGTTTTCTTTCTTTACCCGCGTGCCCACAGACACTTTCTGGAGCAACCCGCAGTTCCGGCTGAGCCTGCTGGAGGAGGACGACGACCCCGAGGACGACGAGGAGGGCTGCACCGTCGTGGTGGCGCTCATGCAGAAGGACCGACGCAAGCAGCGCCGGCAGGGCCGCGACCTCCTCACCATGGGCTTCGCCATCTACCAGGTGCTGCGGCCGCCCCTCGCCCACGTCCCCCTGCCACCGCTCAACCGATTCCTCCGCACCTCTCGACCGCGCCGCAGCATCCTCCCTACAGCTCCTCCCGCGGCCGTCATCACCGATCGCTCGGGGAAACGCTGATGCTGCTGCTGAATTCATCCATTCGTTCATTTATGTATCTGTCCAGTCATTCGTGTGTTGATATCAAAAGGGAAAAAAAATGCTGTGCATTCACTCTGCTACGTATTTCAACAGATTTCAAATGGCACCATTTAGCTATAAAAAACGATAGGCAGTGTTGATTGGAAATAATACTTGCTCTATTAAAAATAATATTTTCTCTGGAATTGGCTGAAAGCGAAGTGCCATGGGGGAGGTCAACGCGTCACATTTTCAAAATGATTTTTCACAATGGCTGTTTGTGCTGGAAATGTTTTGTTTTTTCACATGGCCACCATCTGACAAAAACAAGTTTCACTCTGGATCAGCAAATTCAGCCTCTGGGAGAGAACTCGGGCTGCCAACATAAACGTCCTTGTATGTACGTGTGTACGTTGAATCTCATTCACACCGTACGTAGCCAACCGTGCTAATCGGAGGTGCGGGGAAAGGATGACAAAATCGGAGGTGCGGGGAAAGGATGACAAAATCGGAGGTGCAGGGAAGGACATTAGTAACCGCGGATTCATTTCAGCCGAGTTTACACGCGGAGGTCACGGACGAGGTGCCACCAATCGCGCGTGCACACCCCGCCGCGTCTTAACGCTTAATTTCTATTTTTTTCGTTTTTTTTGTTGTTTCTCTGCAGGTCCCACAGTCGGTACGTTCTGCACTGGTGTGTCCACACAGATGTGCCCCTCGGCAGACGTGGTCGGCTCCGCGAGACGGCCGTCGGGATAACGCCACGCCGTCAAAAGCGCCGCACTTGAACATTCACACTCAGCAGACTGCTCAAGTCCCCCCCCCCCCGCCCCAGTTCAAACCCACCACGGTTTCGTGTTCACGCATTCAAATGCCGAGAGCAGTGGTGGGAGCGGGATTGGTGCCACAGCGTTTGGCGCTCCTCACCACGAACCGGGCTGTCCCAATAAGATTTTTGGTCACGGCGAGCATCGGTGACGAGTGGTCGCTGAAACGGTCTTGGGGCGCACTCCCATCACACACTGACCATCGTGGTGCAGTATGGTCCAACAACTCCCTTGTTTGACACCGCACGTAGCCAATTATGTTAATTGTAGGTGTGATTGTATGGGGGAAGCCTTTATCCAGCAGTGACTTGACCATGGGCTGTAAGAATATGATTATTATTGAGTGTTGTTTTCAATTATCTTCATGCCGAGGCAGCATCCAGGATTGTAATCGGTCCGCCAAAGATGCAGGAAGCCGTGAAACCCCGCGGGTTGCTTGTTTTGAAATGGCTCTTGAACCGGGAACCGGAGCTGACGAACTAAAATGAAAAGGCCACCCAGCGAGCAGTGGCCATGGCTTCTAGGACCTAGCGGGGCTTGCTTGGCTGGACATGGGGTAACGGGGAGTCGGATCGCATCAGCGCGAGTGTCCCATGAGTCACATGAACACCGTCTCATTGAAGTATCAGAGCTTTTTAGCGTGCAGGACAGAATTTCACTGGCATGGAAAACGGATCGCCGTGTACAAAAAAGAAAAATTATAGTCAAGTGATTCACCAGTTCATAAATGTAAATTAATGATTACACTTATGATGCATGCCACTGGATTGATTGGATAAGAATAGGTTATTTGTAGAGGTGTAAATGGATGCATGGAGTAATTGATTAATGTTGATTGCGGAGCTCACGATAAGTGCGTCGAATCACGCGTGTAAAAATGTGCGTTTATTGTGTATGATGGGTTCACGTGACGCAACAGCCACAAGTGGTCACCACATTCACAGCAATAAAAAATGAAGTGTTAAAATCCTTCAATTTAATTGTGACTTTAAGTCACATCAGCGTGTCGAATGTACTAAGGGTGTGAATCGTTACACCTCCGATAATTTACAATTGGAAAGCCAATGATATAGCAATGTCATGGAAATAATTGAGAGAGGACCGATGAGACACAATACAAACAAGACGGTAAATAACGAGAACACAATTGATCCCACTAAATGAAAGCTTTACAAACGACAGGCGAAACGCGTCTTGGATTTCCGTGTACCCGACCGCCGCCTGCTGTAACGTTCTGACCCCGTGCCCCTATCGGACATCTGTGAAAAAGAGCTTCATAGCTCATCGGATTTCTCCAGGATGAACAAAGATTCTGATTCTGCGCAGCACGTGGGGCAGCCGCAGCTGAAGCTGAAGAAGGACTTCTTCCAATTCCACGCGTCCAAGGCACGCTCCGAGGTGTTCATCAACACTCGCGAGGTGTCCCAGCGCTTCCTGCTGCCCCCGGGCGAGTACATCGTCATGCCCTCCTCCTTCGAGCCCAACCAGGAGGCCGACTTCATCCTGCGCGTCTTCTCGGAGAAGCAGCAAGCGGTGGAGTGAGTTCTGCCACCGCCGCTAACACCACCACCAGCACGGTCGTTACCACCGCTACGAACACCACCGCCGCCGTCACCAGTACTCTCGTTACCACCACGACCACCAACCCAAGACTACTAAACATCACCACTTCCAACACTACCAACAACACCTCCACCAACGCCACCAACACCACTAACACCACCACCAAACCCAACACTACCAGCTCCAACACTAGCCAACACCACTAGTACCAACATCACCACTACCAATACCACTATCACCAGCACTACCACCACTACCGCCAGCACCACCACTGCCACCATAACGAATACTGCCACGACCACAACTTGCACCTCCTACTATGATCACCACTACTCTCACACCTCCCACTTCAGCACCTAATATCTTGACAAACGTGTAGTACGCTGATGGCTCTACATGTTAATGTGTTTAAACAGACCTTGCTCTGTTTTATTAACACCTTGATAGTCCTCTTTGAAACAATGAATTCCATCTGAGATTATTTTTACTATATTTCAATTACTGAAAGAACCAAGAATAAGTCTACGTTATAGACTGCCAGTATGCTCACTCAGGCTAAGAACCAGGCTACAGTCTACATTATAGACTGCCAATACATTTACTCCGATTAAGAACCAGGCTACAGTCTACATTATCGACTGCCAGTACACTCACCGAGGTTAAGAACCAGGCTACAGTCTACATTATAGACTGCCAGTACACTCACCAAACTTAATAACCAGGCTATAGTCTCCATTATTGACTGCCAGTACACTCACTCCAATTAAGGACCAGGCTACAGTCTAGATTCTTGTTTTTGTTGTTTATTATTTTATTAATATTCTTTTTATTTTTATTCACTTATTTGTTTTATATCTACGTGACTTTACTGAAAGAACCAAAGAATACATTAACATGGGTCTTTAATATTCTCTTTGGCAATGTCCTACTCAATTCGATCGGAGGTGCCGGGGGATGGACGACAAACTAAGCACAAAATGCAGTTCTAAATAAATTAGTTCTCAATCTACATTTTTAAGTGCATAGCTCCAGTGCCTTCCTAATGTCAGAAGAGGATTCCAGACGGCCGCAGAAACGCATCTGAAAGCGCCCGATGCAGTGGCCGTCTTTGTTCGATGGATAGCCAAAAGCTGCTGCGAGGATGCCTGGAGCTCGCGTGATGGTTTATGGTGTAGCATCCCAGTAGAGAGCCATGTCAACCACAAGGTCACCCAGGCCTCCCAGCGGAGTGCACGTGAAGTCATTCCTCCTCGGGTCCACCCTCTCTTAATTTCAAAGCCACTGCTCCCTGGTGGAAGGGTGGAGCAGGTGGAATTGGTATGCCTCTAAATCAGACCAACCCAGATCACAGCTTTCAACACGGAGGGGGCCCTTGAAATTAATTGGCGATCTTTCGATTTAAAGCTTTCGTGACTGCAGGGATTCATCTTCTTGGTTCTATTTTTATTATTTTATTATTTCCCTTTTACGTGACTTTACCGAAAGAACAAAGAAGATAATTGGCGATCGTGTAGGCGAGCGGGGGCTCATCCCACGCCCCTCTCAAGTGCTCGAACGTGAAGCTGTTATCTGTGTGATGCCAGCGTTTCTTCTCCTGTTCTGTTCCAGAAAAATGGACGATGACGTCGACATTGTAATGCCCGAGGTGAGATTCCCCATTCTCTCCTGAAACGTCCTCGTTTTTTTCCACTCTTGAAATGATACAAGTACTTTTTTTTTTATGCCAGCGCCGTTTATTTGCGAGCAGATGTAAGTCGGTCATTATTGTAGAAGAGGAAGGCTATGAAGGCTGGACTTGGAGTAAAGTTCTGTGGAGGATCTTGTTTGTAATGTGCATGTTTGTTTTGTTGTTCCCTGTTTTGTTTGTGCCGCTGCGTGCCGCACATGTTATAGTTGGACTTGGAGGTGCCAGTGGACCCGGCCTTCGTCAATGTGTTTGCCAGGCTCGCCGGAGCGGTACGTCGTGTCAGCTGTTCAGCGCAACACCTGTCACCTTGTCGTGTTTTCACCATCATCGAGTCAATCGTCAGACGGAAAAACGCACAAATCGACCGATCGGCCGAGAGTGCATTTTAAGTTAATTTGTAAAACCGCGCTTTGCTTCTGCTGCCACCCACGCTGACTTCCCACTTTGGTCGGTCGCTGCAGGACAACGAGATCAGCCCCACGGAGCTGCGGGACATCCTCAACCGCGTTGTGGGAAAACGTGAGCGGCGCGCGTGAGCGGCGCGCGTGAGCGGCGCGCGTGAGCGGCGCGCGTGAGCGGCTGCGCGTGAGCGGCGCGCGTGAGCGGCGAGCGTGAGCGGCGAGCCGGTGAGCGGCGAGCGTGAGCGGCGAGCGTGAGCGGCGAGCGTGAGCGGCGCGCGTGAGCGGCGCGTGAGCGCGAGCGTGAGCGGCGAGCGTGAGCGGCGAGCGTGAGCGGCGAGCGTGAGCGGCGAGCGTGAGCGGCGAGCGTGAGCGGCGAGCGTGAGCGGCGAGCGTGAGCGGCGAGCGTGAGCGGCGAGCGTGAGCGGCGAGCGTGAGCGGCTGCGTGTGAGCGGCGCGTGTGAGCGGCGAGTGTGAGCGGCGCGTGTGAGCGGCGCGTGTGAGCGGCGCGTGTGAGCGGCGCGTGTGAGCGGCGCGTGTGAGCGGCGCGTGTGAGCGGCGAGTGTGAGCGGCGCGTTTGAGCGGCGCGTGAGCCTCGTGCTACACACTGGCGATGGCCACGTGACGCTCCATGGGGTGGCGGCGGTTCCTCACCGTGTGACGAGTCTGCCGTCAGTGGTTGAGCGTTTGTCACACGACGAGCCTCCTATTGATCGATGTCTGAGTGGTTGTCACATAGCACGCGTACTGTTCATGTCTGATTTCACTTTCCATTGAAGTTTGTCAAACGACGACTGTACTGTTGATATACAATTGTCTTTCACATGAACTGTGGCCCTGTTGACATTTAGTTGGTTGTCATATAACACCTGGGGTGTCAGTGACATGTCCTGTTGAAGTTTGTTCAGCAGTAATGGGATGCGCGTTGTGGTGATCCGATTGGGTGCCTTGCGACATGCGTACGCCGATCAGATGCCGACCTCAAGACGGACGGCTTCAGCCTGGACGCCTGCCGCAACATGGTGTCACTCATGGACGTATCCTTTCGCAGAATCTCGCACGCTCACAGGATTAGCGCAGAAAACACCGAACAGCAAAGGGAGCACGGCTCCTGCCCGCCCCTCACAGGGAGGTACGGCTACCTCCATAAGTGACGGCTTGAGGGCTTCTCCCCTTATCGTAACTGCGGTGAGGTCCCAATCCTACCGTCTCCCGGTACTCGCTGCAAATGGGATCCATCTGGTGGCCCCAGACGCCGTCGAGCGGCTTTCCGCACCCAAGAAGGACGGCCCATTGACGCGTCCGTCGCTTTTTTGAATGCCCCTTGACATTGCGCCACCTTTCCCAGAGGGACGGCAACGGCAAGCTGGGCATCAAGGAGTTCAACTTCCTGTGGCAACGCATCAAGACGTGGCAGGTGTGGCCGGGGAAGCGAGACTCGGGTTTTTTCCGTCTGAACCAGAGCCGACCCCAACCGCCCCCCCCCGCCCCCCCGTGGCAGCAACGGGGTTCCCCATTGTGTCACAGACACTCGGCTTGTGGAGCTCGTGGTGGTGGTGGTGGCGGTGGGGGGAGGTGACAAGAGAGCGAGGGGGGAGCAAAGGGGACCGGTGGTGGTCGCGTGTGGTTTCGTTTTTTTGCCACACAACTCCGGGGAGCTGTGGGTAGCGTGGTAACGTTATCGTCGCTCGACACGTGGTGAGCGTCCGGGCCGTGGCAGGCGGAGCCCGATTCGTCAACCGTGGCATTACTTTTGAAATCTATTTCACAACGAAAGTCTAATCGCAAAAGGGAGGTTATTTTAAACGCTAAACGACCCGACATGGTGTTATTTAAAACTTACTGTCATCGGCGTTTTAAGCATTTTCCCCTTCAGGATTGTGGTGATTGTGCAGGTATATTTAGACATAATATGTCTATTTTGGTGTGTGCTCACACTTTACAAACAGACACGCGATACAGTTTGTATTTGCCACGTAATTCATAGACGTGAAGATTCACCTGACTTGATACGTTTCCATGATTCGCGATCGGAATTCGATTCGGGAATCTCATTCTCTGTCGGTAACCGAGTGGAGAATATCGTGTTCTTCAGGGGTTTACGTGAACCCCGCACGGAGAGCTATAACTGAATACTGTCCAGTATACGAATCGACATAAATTGAACCTCGCTCGTACGATTCGATGCATGAATCGCGATCTAATTGAACCATCAGCACACTTATAAGTCTTCATCATGTCGCATTTTAAATGACGGGCATGTTACAATTTATCGACTCGCTGTTTTAAGTGGCTTATTACGGTCGCGATACACGCGCATCGAATTCGATTGAGAATTAACATTTTTATCAAAGCGTATTCGCAAATAATTTGCTCATTACGTTGAGGCCAATGGAGCTGAGCGGAAGACGGTTTTAGAGGCAAGACCACGAATGGGAAACCATTCGAATTAGCTAGACAACAGAGACAAAAAAAGACGAAAAAAAAGCAGCATCGATTTCGGGATGGGATCGTGACCGTGGATAGACGACGAATCATCCGAGCGCAGGCAGTGAGAGCAAATCTTTGCGTGGGTGATGAGTAGCGTCGACGATTTTTAAAAAATGGGGTCTTCTCGTTGCGTCCGTTGTCGTTTTCCGCAGCAAATCTTCCGACAGTTCGACATGGACCACTCGGGAAACATGAACGGGTACGAGTTCCGCCTCGCTCTGGCTGAAGCAGGTGGGTTCCATCATCTTGGATGCACTCCATAACAAACGTCCCCGCCCCCACCCCACCCCGAATCACTCCGCTGAACGTTTATTTTAAATTTTTGACTATCTCCTCACCACCAAAGACAAAGATCCGCCGTATAGCCTTAAGAGGCTGATGGGGCAAGTGCTGTTAGCGAGCACCTATGAAGGCCGCACACGGCACACGAGGGAGTGGGTGGCAAGCACCACGCCCGGCCGAATTTGTCTCCCCAGTGGCGATGTTTACGCATCGTAACCGGGTACTCATTTAACGTCGAGTCCACTGAGGCAAGGCCCAGGAATGGCTCAGATATTCTTCACCGATTGACCGTGAGTGAGAATTTTAACTCTGTTCGCCGGGTTTGTGGCCAAGTGTGCTCACCACTGTGCCACCGCTCCCCATAAAACACTGAAGACACACACGCGCGATATTACATAAGGAAATTTGAGAATCGATGCATGTACGTTGTATGCGATCGGTTCATACAAACTCTGTAGGCGTGAAACAGCGAAGCCACGTTAGGAGTCTGTATACACAAAGGGCAAAGAAAAAATATTTGTGCATCAAATATTACGTGTATCAATGTTCTTCAGTGTTTATTGCGGGTTCTTCTTTGACCCTAAAGCCACGAAGAGGCCACCCCATTAACTGCATGGTGAAAAACGAATCGGTTCTCAGATTGAGTCGTCTCCTTGTTTTGCGGCAAGTCGTGGGATCGTCGCGCCCCCGTTAATCTCATCGACGTAATTTTATCGTTTCGCTCGCGTATTTGAGAATCGCCCCACAACTACTTGCAGATTCCTCCTATATCGCATCACACTAATGTTTAACTTTTTTTTTAACACGCATTACTCACCGTACGTATGTGCATTATCGAATAATGTGTAATCTACAATACGTAGTTATACACGTACGTCTCCTTGTTGAGATGCTCTCGCAATCCTTCCACAGGCTTCCGTCTGAACGACCAGCTGACACAGACCATCACCATGCGCTACATGGAGGAGAGCGGAGTCATCGACTTCGACAACTACCTGTGCTGCCTCGTGCGGCTCGAGACCATGTTCCGTGAGTCGGGGGGGAAGTGGAGGGGGCGGGGGTGGTGGAGGGTGCCATCACAGGTCTCAAGGAGACGGCGACCGTCGGAAATCGTCGGCCATCTCCGAAGACCCAGGGGGTGTGCGCCTCCTGTGCTCGAAGACCACGATCAACTTTCAGGCTTTGTAGATTACCTTGACACCTCCAGCTTCTCAACAAACAAACAAATAAACGGCTGAAAACAGAACGTCCTACATTCGCCATGATGGGGGGAAAACGTCGAATTGATTCTTCATTCACGATATTTAGCTAGGGTTAGGCAATTCATTTGGCTATGGCTAGGGGATCCACGTGGCAGGTATGTTTGGCGAGGGTTAAACGTGACACCAAATCTCGTTGCGTTTTTGTATCTTGCAGGGATATTCCAGGCCCTCAACAAGGATGGTGATGGAACAATTAAGCTCAAACTGCCCGAGGTGAGTTGGCTGCGTATTTACGTACAGTATGTTGAACTTCTTTCACACCGTATGTAGCCAACCGTGCCAATCGGAGGTACGGGGGAAGGACAAAAAGTAAGCGCAAAAAACAGTTCTAAAGATGAGTTTTCAATCCAGATGATTTAAAAGTGCATAGCTCCATTGGCTTCCTAATATCGGAAGGAAGAGTGTTCCAGACGGCCGCAGACGTGCGTCTGGAAGCGCCGCGCGATGATGCGCTGACCGTTTTTGTGGGCCCTCACTTGTGCTCGTTGGGGCATACGACGCTACGCATCTTAGCTCGTAAACGTTCTGCTGCCCGTTCAGAGCCTCGCTCACCAGCTCGCTCACCAGCTCGCTCACCAGCTCGCTCACCAGCTCACTCACCGCCTTGCCCCAGCTACTTACCATCGCGACACTTGAACGCCAACCTTCTTGCCCCATAGCTCCTTATCTGCCTGTCCACCTACTCGCTCGCTCACTCTCCCACTCATTTATTCGTCCAATCATCTGCTCGTTAACCGATGTAATGGCCTCCTCTTCCATGTGCCCTCTCACTTAGTTATTTCTTTGTCAATTTTTGTGCTTGGTTAGCATGGTCGGTTACGTATGGCGCGAAAGAAGTTCAACATAATACATACATTTATTTACCCACCCGCTCGCTCTCTCGCTCACTCTCTCACTTGCTTTCTCACTTGTCCTTTCGCCCATTTACCTGCTCACCCACGTCTCTCGCGTTGTCGCTCGCCCGCTCACCTGGTGCCGCGCAGGAAGCCGATTCTTGAGCCTTGTTCTCTCAGGACGAGGATCGGCCACGTGTGAAAGTCGCTCTTCTTGGGTCGTTGATGACGCCCGTCGTCTCGTTTCTTTGCCCCCCGCAGTTCCTGAACCTCACCATGTTCGGTTGAGGAGGGAGAGGAGGCGCGGGGGAAGCGAGCAGCAGGAACGCAGCAGCGACGGCAACAGAGATCGGATGTCAGCTGGCGCATGAGCTCCAGCTCGTGCACGCTCCTACACGCGTGTGTGTGTGTGTCTTCGTTCGCGTGCATGTGTGACAGTGTCGGCGTGTTGCCTACCCGAGTGTGCTCGTGCGAGTGAATGCGTGGGGTAGAGCTGTCGGAGAGCTACAGTGAGTGGTGAGCGTGCTGCGCTGCACACCCAGCAAACCAAGTTCGATGCCCGGCCAAAGTTCACGTCTGTGACTTAAATGTGAATTGGTCCTAGGCCTCCCCTAGGTCGGCTCGTACATAAATGATTACCCTGGTACGGTGTGTAAACGCAAAGGCGGCAGCTGGAAGCGATGCTGGCCACAACACCCCCTTGTTCGCATTGCCTGTGTATGTTGAACTTATTTCGCACCGTGCTCGCTAACAGCACTTGCCTTAACAGTCTGTATGGCCATAAGGGGGGGGGGGGGGTATCTGTTTGTGAGTGAGTCGGTTGCTATCCGTATCGAGCTGCAGAGTGCGAGCGCGTGCGTGCGTTGGGTGAACAGCCGATGGCGGGACACCCACCTCGCCAAAAACCACACACCGTCACGGCGCAGCGCCGGCCTTAATAGGTGCTCGCTAATCTAGCAACTCGTGCCTCACCGGGCCAAATGGAGGCCAAACAAGCGGGGGGGGGGGGGGGGGCAGCATGTCTATGCTTGTATGCTCTGACACATGCTTCTCTTACATGTGTGTGTGACAAGTGCAAGCGAGTGTATGGTCACACCAAAAGTATTTCGGGACGCCGACCGTCATGCATGTGCACAGTCCTAGTAGGCGATTCACGCCGCCTCGAATCGCCGGCGTGCGTGTCTTGTACGTACGTGGGTGGCCAGCCGTGCTAATCGGAGGGTTGCGAGGAGGAGGAGGGGAGGACAACAAACAAAACACGAACGAGCAGTTCTCAATCAGTGGTGGGCAACCGTGCGGGGCCTCGTGCGGGGCCTCGTGCCCTCCCGCGGAGCCCCTCGTGATGGCCCGCCGGTGTCGGTGTCTCGATGTCGATGGCGTGGGGTGGGGTGGGGGGCGGCGGTCACGCTCGGTGCACGACCGCGACGACGTCGAAGCTTTGCGGCCCACCGGGGGTGCAGGAGGGGGGGCCTGCTCGTGAGGCCCGCCGACCATGATCCGGGTTGCCCGCCGATTGTGGTCCGGATTGCCCACCGTGGTTTTGGTTGCCCGCCGTGGTTTTGGTTGCCCGCCGTGGTTTTGGTTGCCCGCCGTGGTTTGGGTTGCCCGCCGTGGTTTGGGTTGCCCGCCGATTGTGGTCCGGGTTGCCCGCCGTGGTCCGGGTTGCCCGCCGTGGTTTTGGTTGCCCGCCGTGGTTTGGGTTGCCCGCCGTGGTTTGGGTTGCCCGCCGATTGTGGTCCGGGTTGCCCGCCGTGGTCCGGGTTGCCCGCCGTGGTTTTGGTTGCCCGCCGTGGTCCGGGTTGCCCGCCGTGGTTTGGGTTGCCCGCCGATTGTGGTCCGGGTTGCCCGCCGTGGTTTGGGTTGCCCGCCGTGGTCCGGGTTGCCCGCCGATTGTGGTCCGGGTTGCCCGCCGTGGTTTGGGTTGCCCGCCGTGGTTTGGGTTGCCCGCCGTGGTTTGGGTTGCCCGCCGTGGTCCGGGTTGCCCGCCGTGGTTTGGGTTGCCCGCCGATTGTGGTCCGGGTTGCCCGCCGTGGTTTGGGTTGCCCGCCGCTGGTCTCGATTGTGGAAATTCGAATCAAAAGGTGGCGAAAAACCCTGGGCGCGAGCCCATCGGGGGAGGGGGGGTCTCTCTGCTGCAGTGCCACACACAAAAAATGGGTGGGGAGGGGGCGTCCGATGCGTTTTGAAAACCTGACAGAGGTCGTTTAAATGCAGTATATACGCACGCGCACACAATGTGCACACGCGTCTACATAGCTACGCAGTGTATTCATGCAAGCGTATATAACGAATAATGGGGGGGGGGGGGGGTAGGGTTTCTTTTCATTTACTGCTTACGTTTGGGTATTTGTCGTTTTCTAAAAAGCACCAATACGGTGCCAATCGCACGTTCAGATTTTTTTTATTTTAGTTTGGTGGGGTTGGTGGGATGTTCATGTGAGCGCGTGTATCATTTTTTTTTAAATTCTCAAAACATCTCAAGTTTTCATTGTCCTTATACCGTGTATCATTTTTTGTTCGTTTGCCATTGTTTAAATTCGGGCTGTGTTTTCCCACTCACCGTGAGAGTCATCCCATCGGCACCCGATTTGTTGAGTAAGCGCGTGTCCCAGTGACATTGCTGAAGCGAGGCTCTGGAGCTCAGGGGGAGTCTCCAGCTGGAACACGTGGGCAGCAGCCCCCCCCCTCCCCCGTAGGAAACTGTTCAGCTGCCTTATCACGCCCTATCTAGAGTGAGGGGGGAGTGTGTGGTGTGTGTGTTTGTGTGTGCGCCTGAAGCACAGGTGGTGCATTTGCAAGTCATCTCAGTCAACCCGTGGCACCTGGGTCTGTCCCGTGACTTCTTGTCAGCGAAACTTTAAAAACTTCAAACGGCTTCAAAGTGCACCTAGCCTGGCACAAGCACCGCGGTGACGTAACCGCCACTTGTATGGGAGTGGAGCGGTTAGTGCACTGCGATACAAACGCGGTGACCCTAGTTAGATTCCCTATTGTGGTCAACACCAATGACGATAATCTGAACCGGTCCTGGACCTCCCCTAGGTCGACTCGGCCTCAAACGAGTACTTGGCGTGGTGTGTAAACATCGCCACTGGGGTGACAAAGGCGGCCGGGCGTGGTGTTGGCCACTCATCCCCATCATGTGCTGTGCCGGCCTTCATAGGTGCTGCTCACTGACGGCACTAACCCCAAAAGTCTGTTAGGGTCTTTGTCTTTGCGTGGTAGAGACCTGCCGTGACTCCAAAGTCGGGCACGAAGTGACTTCCAGCCCAGGCTTCCCAGCCAGGAATTGCACGCAACCTTGTGGGAGGACATGTGGTGATAGCCCAGCACCTACTGGTGCAGTAAACATCGTTGGATTCATTCAGGGGTAAGGACACATTTTCTTCCTGAGTGCCGAATCATCATTGGGGTTTTCTTTCAATATAGTTTCAGCCAATTTCATGAGTGATGAAACAACTGGGAAGAAACCGGAGCACTTTGGAGGAAACGGACACGCGAGAGGGGGCAACACTCGATCCCCGTACAGGTGGAAACAGATTGCGATTAGTCAATTTGCTGTACCGCCTTCTCTTGGCGAGCCAGGGTACAGCACCTCCTGGACGCCAACGGGAAGGGAGCTCCACAACATCTGTGCGGTGATCCATCAATCCTCGCTGCTACCTCCACAGAGGCAGCCACGTGCATAGCCACCAATGTTACAAACCTGTGCACAGTGTGAGCGAAGCAGTTGGACTATTTGTAGGTGGGGCCTGTTCGTTTGCAAAGGTGCAATTGCATTTTCTAGTGAGTAACATTCCTACACGCTTTGGTTCTTTCGGTAAAGTCACGTACGTTACCGAAAGAACCAAAGAGTATGGATTCCTGCAGTCACGAAAGCTTCAAATCTAGATTATATTCCTACAATTACAATTATTCAATTCATTAAAAAATAACCCGAATAGCAGGTCCCGTGTCTGCTTGGGGCCTGGCGAATGCCCTCTTCTGGCCGGTGATGATATTTCACGTGAACGAATGGAGCTTTTATTTGAGGGCTGCTACCATCTAGTGGAGAGAAAATATTAAAAGGACTCTGGGGGGACCATGATGCCACGCATAATGACTATTCACCAAGCTTCGAACTGACCAAGCTTACAGAATAATATTTTTTGAAGAGTCGGCTAGCTGAAAGATGACGTCCGAAAGAAATGCATGGATGTGAAAGGGGTTCAAGGGCTTATCTGACACCCAATAGATGCGTGGAGGAAACGGTTTACCACTTATTGATGGATACGTGTCAACTCGTACATGCATCAATACACTACACGTGCATGCGATAATTAAGAACGGATTCGTTTACATTTTTTTTTGCAAATATGCGGTTATATTCCAGGCGAACCGAGAGACAACTCTGCAAACTAAGCAGATAAACCCCGACACATATGACAAGAAACAGAACTAACATTGTGAGAATGCATATATACATCGATTCGAGGTGAGGGCACGTGAGTGACATCGGTGAGAGGGAGGAGTACAATTGCAATAATGATACTGGTAGGAACCGCCAGGTTACACCAGCCCACAGTGGATTATTGTGTCCGTCCGTCGTGCAGGAAGGGGCTGGGTGGGGAGGGAGGGGCTGGGAGGGGAGGGTGGGGCTGGTCACCCCGCGGTGCCTTTATGAAACTCAACGTTTAACCTACTCACGCCGGCTTGTGCCCGCCCTCACAGTCGGGCATATTTGCGGAATACACCACGCCGCTGTTGACCCTGGCCATTGACCGAGCAACCCAACGTTCCTACCAGCTCCCTCCGCAGGAATGTGTTTGTTCAAGTGGTGGCAGAGGCCTCGTGGTCTTGATGAAGGGCGTGCGTGCTCCTGCCGATTGGGCCACGGTCATCCAGACGGTCTGTACGTGTGCACGTTGAACTTCTTTCGCGCCGTACGTAGCCAACCGTTGCAAATCGGAGGTGCGGTTTCGGCCTGTCGTAGTGGCGGGGAATTACGTCTCATCACACACGCGCATGTCATCGCTACCGTCACGACTGCTACAATTATTGACTTGGTTAAGACTATGGACTGAAGCATGGTTTTATTTACCAATTTATCTCCGTTCCAAATACACAATTTAACCGTTGCACGCTGCACACGCCTGATACGTCGCCACGTAACGTAAGCGAACGCCGATTCAAATTGGAGATACGGGATATAGGCTCGCAAAGTGATTACAATTAAATTCAATTAAAAAGAATAAAATGTATGTAGCGGCATCTAGTGGCTAGATGGGTCACACGTAAAGCCATTTCACACATACAAACATACCATTCGAAACAATATCGTTGCTTCTGACACGAGTTATTCCTATGCTTGCATAAATAGACCGGGTTGGAAGTCCACTCACGTTGAAGCTTTGACTGCGGTGTCGCATCGCCACCTGCTGCCTCGAGAACGTCATCACATGCACTCTGGCTTCGCGTGCCTCAACTCCGAATTGTTTTTAACAACGTGGTGGTGGTGGTGGCTGTAGACAATTAAAGTGCACCTAGCATGGCACAAGCTCCACAGTGACGTCACCGCCACGTAGTAGTGGTGAACAGCGGTTGTTGTTGTTGGTTGACAATGACCTCCAACTCTGCTTACATTACACATGGGTATGATGTTGCTTTGACACCGGGAGCCCTCATCCCACTTACCTTGGCCATTAGGTCGTCTGTATTCGCAAGTGTGTGTTCAGATTTCTCCCGACTAACGCATATTATTTTTGTTCATCATTCATTTTGATACTGGAAAAAAATGGTCCCGTACTCTTTGCTTCTTTCGGTAAAGTCACGTAGGTAGAAAAATAACAGATCACGACGTTTCGATCGCAACACAAGCAATCGTCATCAGGTGGGACAACCACAGCAAGAAGACACTGCTGAAGAGATCTGCCGTGGCACGAGGTTGTATAGGACTCGGCAGTAGGGGGGTAGAGAGAAGTGGGTCCTATACACGCAGCGGCTCAACGCGAGCTATTAATGCGTTGACACGTGCATTGCCTTTGTGCTGGCCGCCTTTTGGCGTTCTCTCGTCGACAGCTGGCGAGACAACGAAGGCTGTCTCAGGTGTAGACCAATCGGTTTCAAAGGCAATGCATGTGTTCTCAGAGCATGCTCGCATGTTTTGCCACGAGTATGTGTGGCTAATGCAGACTCGACGCCTTGCATATAGGTATCTATTTGGTGTTCGAACATCTTAATACCTCCTGATTTATTGCCAGAAAGGCCGAGACTTTTTTTGTTCTCCCGACTGTCCACGAGTATCATCAATCATCTTTACCGGTATCATTAGACTCGCAATAATGTTGGATCGTGATCATCAGCCCCACCATAATCCTTGTCATCGCCACCACCCGCACTATCCACACCACGACCATAATCGCCACCGCCCGCTAGATTCACCATCGTTATTATTAACACGTGTAATGTGAAATTAACAACACATCTTTTTCTCTATATAATAGAGGGTTTTTGGGGGGGGGTTATATGTTTGGAATCAGTGATTATGTGATAAAAAAGCAATACTTTTGAATGTGGGTAATGCAGTACAGTAGTTAAAGCTTAATACAAGAGAAATATATTTACGATAAAATATCATCTGAAATAACACGAATATCTAACCGACTGCACTGCAGTGTATTGAGATGGGTGTGTATGTACCATTGCGGTGTGTAAACATCAGCACTGGGGAGACAAAGGCGGCCGGGCGTGGTGCTGGCTACCCACCACTTCGTGTACCGTGTCGGCCTTAATAGGTGCTCGCTAACAGCACTTGCCTCAAGTCTGTTTAAGGCTAAATGGGTGATCGTTGTCTTTGTAGCAATGTTACTCGGCGTAATGACACTGCCTTAGACTTTCTCGCGTTCGCATAGTGGCAGAACTGAAAAAAAAACAAATGTATCCAAGAAAGCCTCAGTGAGACCCCAAGACTCTTTCGGGAGTGTGCTGCATTGGGGGAGGGGAGGTTTGACCAGTCCAATTCATTGAGGCGCTCATTTAAACCGGAGTATCCGGAGAAACCCCACCACACACACGACGGAGGGGTAATATGGAACGCTCCGCAAAGATCGATTCAGGAATCCATTGCTGTAGCGCCATCTTCTGACCACCTCGTGGCCCAAGTCCCTACCGGCACCTGCTATTGTCAGGTGGTCTCCCATCCAGTGCCATTCGAGTTCAACCCCGCTTAGCTTCCGAGATCAAATGAAATCAGGTGCATTTGAGTCGTTGGCAGATGATGATTAAAAAAAAAACCGGCACGATAATTTGTCTCGCTCGGAGCCCCGTGATGTTCTGGGGGGGGGGGGGGGGGGTCCGTTCCTCGCGTGCTACGCTACGAAGCTACGTTCATTGAGAGCTGCCTGTCCCGGGTGCGTTCCTCTTGGATGACGCCCTTGACTCGTCGTGCGGGACGGTATCTGTCCACATTAAATATTCCGTATCTCACTGGTCTTATTTTTGGGCCGCCTATTAATCAATTCGCCGCCCTTGACTTGTCAAGGTGACCGCACAATGAGACCCGTGATCTGTACGTCTTTGCAAAAGGGCGACGCGCATGAAAGAAATTGTAATAGGGGGCTTTGTAACTTTCAGATCTGGGGGGTGGGAGGTACATGAGCCATGACGCCATGGCAAATAAACCTAGGGCGCCACGGTGGCGAGATGTTAACTATCTCGCCTGGAATACAGGAGGTCGTGGGTTCAATTCCGACTCTGACGCCTGTATATTTGGGGTTTGCATGTCTCTCTCCCCCATGGTCCTCCGGGTTTCCCCTCTACATTTAGAATCCATATACATCTCGAGTATTTGGATGCCATTATTGTCCACGTGATATAATCAGAAACTTCGTTGAGCTATCATATGCGGCCAGGTCGCTTCTGAGAAAGAGCTCAGTGGGCCTTACCTGGTGAAATCTAAACAAAAACGTTATAGTTTCGTAAAATATGCTTCAATTGTAAGAGACTTTTCTTGTATGACTCTCATCTGCTTAACATGAAAGGGGTTAATTGACGGTGGCCTACTCTTGAGAACAGTTTTTTTTGTATATCTGCAAGTAGATAGTTAATGCACCTCGCTCACACGTTCCTATATCCCTTGCGTTTCCCCTCGACCCCTGTAATCACCTCTTGCTTGCGTAGGTTCAAATCTCGCCCGCGGCTAGCGCCAGTGGCACGGTCTGAGAACGTGCTGTGCGCCTCCCTCCGGCTTAGGTGGATGCTGCCTTCAACGAGCAAGTACCTGGTGCTGTGTGTAAACATCCGCACTGGGGAGAAAGACAAAGGCGGCCAGGCGCGCTACTGGCTACACAGCTCTCTCGCCTCGTGTCAGCGGCCTTAATGTGTGCTCGCAGCTTCCCCACCACACACAGCGGGAGCGTCTGTGAATGTAATGTGGACTGGTCTCTATGGACAGTGTAAGTGGACGGTTATCACATGAACATGTTTTACTGGGTAGGGATGATACGAGTCCATTGACACGACTCGACCCACGCGTTTATTGTCTTTGCTTACATCGCCTCGTTTGTGCTACCTCGTTTATACTCAGGCGATGACCATGGCCCAGCGCGTAGCGCGTTGAGTCGCGCGGTGCCTTGCAGAGGTTCAAGGTTAGAATCCAGCGGCCGCTCACTTTATTTTTATCCGCGGGTGTATATTAACCAGGAAAAAAATAGGCGAAGTCTGTTTTAGAGTGAACGTTAAAGATCCAGTCACGTCATTCCCAATAGTCGGCCATTGTGTGCCTGCGCCTTGGTCCAAATTTGGAAGAAAGGAAAAAATGTGCACCGCAAATTATTCACTTGAAATATGCAGTGCATCGCAATCATCACCTTCTACGACTGCGAGACTTGACAGACTTCTCCTGAACTAACACATTCCTGCGGAGGGAGCTGGTAGGAACGTTGGGTTGCTCGGTCAATGGCCAGGGTCAACGGCGGTGTGGTGTATTCCGCAAATATGGCCGACTGTGAGGGCGGGCACAAGCCGGCGTGAGTAGGTTAAACGTTGAGTTTTATAAGGGCATCACGGGGTGACCAGCCCCTCCCGACCCAGCCCCTCCCCACCCAGGCCCTCCCCACCCTCCCCACCCAGCCCCTCCCCACCCTCCCCACCCAGCCCCTCCCCACCCTCCCCACCCAGCCCCTCCCCACCCTCCCCACCCAGCCCCTCTCTCCCCACCCAGCCCCTCCATGCACGACGGACGGACCGACACAATAATCCCCTGTGGGCTGGTGGAACCAGTGGGTTCCTACCAGTAAAAGAGGTCTTGAGACCCAGTGATGCTTTCCTGGGTAAACAAGCGGAATAATCATGTACGGTCTGTCGTCGGAGGTCTGTTCTGTCTCGCTTGGACAATATCTTAAATCGCATATAGCAAACCGAACCCTCTCGTGGCGAGCTTGACCTCGACTTTTATATTTGTTGCCCGAACGTATTGTCATACGCACGAGTAGAGCCGTCTCGCTTGTGTCATCCACGGTGTCCGTTCATCCGTACCGCCTGACATCCGGCGTCTCGATTTGAAGTTTTCGTGACTGCAAGGGTCCATAGTCTTTGGTTTTTTCGGTAAAGTCACGTAGGTAAAAAATAAAATAAAAATAAATTCAATCACGACGTTTCGGAGGCAACACAAGCTTCCGTCTTCAGGTGGCACCGTCACAGCAAAGTTACTGTATCAAGTACCTACGTGACTTTACCGAAAAAAAACAAAGACTCTCCGTCGTCTCCTTTGTACCGATTCGTCGTGGCCCCCGTTCGTTGAACCCATTCGCAAACAAACAAAAAAGTAGACGTTGCCTGCATCTAAGGTAATCGAGTAAGTTCCCCCACTATTCGATGCACGGACGGATCGTGGAGCGAAATAATCGATTGGGATTAAATTCTTCGTTCTAAGGGATTTTTTGTTCCTGGTTCTTGCTTCCCACTTAGCGCCCCCTCGTGGCAATCATTTGCGGGGTGGGGGGCTTGGTGGTGTGACGTCACCGACCTGCATTCAGCACCACGGACAGCGGCACGGTCGCCACAGCTGGGGCTGAACGATTTGGGGCTGAACGATTTGGGGGAAATATCTAATTGCGATTTTCTGACAGATATTGCGATTTGATTTGCGATTAGATTTTTTGAAGTCAAGCTTCAGTTCAATATTCACTGTGTAATAGATTTAAACGTCATGGAGCATTACCACATGATACCATTAAAATATGAACTGCTCTATATATTCTAATGCAAGGATGAGAACTTAAAAGATATGAATTACTTCCAATATGTATGTATTAAAATGTTTAATTGAAAGAAAACAATCAAACATAGAACAATTGTTAAGTAAAATAAATAAAGTTATAATAGTAAATAATAAACCAATTCAATAAAAAGTAACAGGACTTTTCAAATCGCACAAAATCGCAGCCTTTGCGATTTGCTAATCGCATTGTTTCAAATTGAGATTTCAATTTGAAATCGATTAATTGTTCAGCCCTAGCCACAGCCCGTATAACAAGTACACCTCGGCTGCTTAATTCACCCTGCCCCTGGAAATCAACGCCTCTGAAAATTATTCATCCCCAGTCGAAAGCCGTGGCGGGGTGGGAAGGAAGCGATGATTTGCGAAACGTTTTTGTTGTTGATGTGGAGAGACAGATATATGAAGGAGACGTATTGTCGACTTCGTACATCTGGTTTTGAATAGCAATTTAACAATGCACATATTATCCCGACGCTGGCGATAGCTTCATCGAAAGGCGTGGTGTAGATAATCGATTGTTTACGGTGTGCGCACAGTATGTGATGTCGCTACATTTACACGAATGGAGCAGAGCATGTTAAAATATTCAAACGCGATAGCATAAGAATCAATACAAAAATCGACAAAGAAAAATAACCGATTCAAGGAATTAAATCGTGACCTCGAAGAGAGACAGTGGGATTGCTGGGAGGAATCATTGCATACCTACAATGTAAGCAATCGTTTGCAGAAGTCCAATTACTGCTTAAACAAGTCCGACAATGTCCCACTGAAGATAATATCACAGAGCTATCTCTGAGATCAATTCAAGTGAGCTGGTCCACACAGGAGAGGGCAGCACTTTTCCTACCCGTCCTGTCGCATGAGAGTAACGTACGATATTTAAGAGCAGCACCACATTTATTCCTATAGGGGTTTTTTTTGTTGCAGTCATTTGGTGACGGGGCCAAGACTAATCATCTCCCAACAATTGGGAATCCCGCATTCGAATCCAGATTCCCAGCGGTCACAGCTCAGCGCTCTTCTCTCGGAGACAATCTAGCCACCTCAGCGCCGCACACCATTACAAAAAAAAACTTTTATCCAAACTACGAGAGGGCTGGCTCGCCGCAAACCACCCGTGGCCAAATCAGAGTCAATCCAGGACTCAGGCCAATGAATTAACCAAATGTCCCTGAACGCTACGTACGCTCGTTTTTTTTTATCATTTACAATATTAGTCGATGCAGTCATACAATGTCACGTGTATTAGTCAATAGTCGCAGTGACTGCCAGCTCATGTAAGTATTGAGCGTTGCTGAATCGGTGCTATAAAGTCCACGTTCATGTGCCGGGGATAGTCTTGACAAATGACTGCCACTGCTGACCTCCTTACCAATCGGTGCACCCTTACCAGATGGCATCCCGTTTTAATGACCTCGCAAAGATGATGATGATGTGACAGAACAAACACTGGTTGGGATGTGAACTCAGTTACTCACTACTGTGAGTCCTGATGCTTTAGCAAATGAGCCACAATCTAACGGATGCTACGGAACGCTTAGTTAAATTACCAAATGTAGCATCCATTTACTATCCACTGCTGTATACGAGCTTCCCTGTTCCCATACATATTATTTGTATATGCATATACAGTATACACAACGCTGTCTGATTAAAATTAAGAAAAATGCCGTGTCCAACACGTATGCATAATGAAACGTGTGCTTTGAGTTTAATTTGAGTGGTAGAGGGGAGCGCTATCCAACAGAATACTGCTCATTGTGTGGTTCTGTGTGCCAGAATAAGTGAGTGTGTGCACATGTGTATTTGTGGGCGAGTATGATTGTATGGCTGCGCGAATTGACACAATTTTGTGTGGCTGTATATGTATAAACAGCATAGTGTTATATGCCTAGGTGTATGGCTGTGTGGCTCGGTATTTGTATGCTTCCGTGCATAGCTGTCTGTGTGTTTCATCGACTTCATGTGTCTGTGTACGCCTATAGGTTAAGGATAAGCTCCATATGTAAATGTGTGTCTGTCGCATGGTGTATTTGCGAGTGTCGATAGGTTGTCTATGGCTACTGCGGGGAGCGTTCGTGTGTAGCGTTTAATGCGTTTCGATTCGACCCGAGCGACCCGAGTTCGATTCCCGCTCACGGCCAACATAGTTGACGATTATCTGAACCAGTGCTGGGCCCGCCCCTAGATCGACTCAGCCTCAAATGAATACCTGGAACGGCGTGTAAACATCAGCATTTGGGAGACAAAAGGCGGCCAGGCGTGGTGCTGGCCACCCACCGCCTTGTGTGCCGTGCCGGCCTTCATAGATGCTCGCTAAACAACACTTGCTCAAACAGTCTGTTAAAGGTTATACGGAAGATATTTGTCTTGTATAGCTATGTGTGTTTTTTTGTCTTGTATAGTTATATAAGGAACGAAACAGATGGACCTCTCCACAAATCTGGATGTCGCCTGATGAAGCTGGTTGTAATTACTGGCGAAACGTCGTACTCAGATTGTAAATATTGTGGCTTGGCTCTCCAACACACCGGTGTGCTGTACTAGTGACGAATTGGCCACGTTCTGTTTACGTGACAACCCTTACTAGTTGGCTGTGTCGGGTGGTGGCGGGTTTTAACGACACATTTATATATTTACGCGATCTAACCCAAGAAGTCTCTCATGGACGATATTGGTCGCGGAAGCCTACGTGTGCAATAGCAATGTGTACTTAAGATCAGATAGCTCTCTGTGTCTATGGAGCTATGCGCGCGCGCGTGCGTGTGCAACTCATGTGTGTCGGCGTGCGCACGGCTATCGTCCGAATATTAATGAACAGCTCCCTCTCCACGCGAACTTTTTCATCCCGATCGACGCCAGGAGGAGCCCCGAATCATCCGCATTAAACGCCGGTGCATTGTGGGTGCACTTGGAAGGAATAGCTCGACAGAGAGGGCGGAGGGAGCCCGCGGCGTGAGCAGCAACCACAGCAGCAGTAGCAGCAGCAATAGCATCATCAGTAACAGCATCATCAGTAACAGCAGCGGCCACCGCCACTGCATCACCACCATTAGCAGCAGCAGCATTTTAACCATCACTGTAATCAATAGCAGCACCGTTACTGTTAGCGGCAGACATTCACCACCACCGTCATCGGAAGCGACAGTACCATCACCATCCCTGTCATCATCGTCTGTAGCAGCAACAGCAGCAACAGCATCTGTATCGCCGTGATCAGCAGCAGCAGCAAGGACGAACGGGGAGAGTGAAGCGCCTTCATGGAGAGGTAGAGGGAGACAAGACTGGGGGGAGACGGGAGGAGCCAGGAACAGAGAGGAGGAGGAGGAGGGAGACACGGAGAGGTGGCAGTGATTCTGTGTGCCGTGGAGGGTGAAGCGTTTTGCGGCGAGCGCAATCAACCTGAGCTCGGCCTCGCGTGCATAGCGCAAGGTGAGTCCGTGTACCCGTGCGTGTGGTGATGTGATTGCGTGTGTGTGCGTGTATGTCATTGTGTGTGTATGTCATTGTGTGTGTATGTCTGTATTCGTGTGGGGGGCAGTGGTGTAACGGTAAGCGCGCTGCTCTGCGAACCCGGCGACACGAGTTCGATTCCCGTGACGATTATCTTAACCGGTCCTGGGCCTCCCGTGGGTCGACTCAGCCTCAAATTTGTACCTGGTGCGGTGTTTGTCAGCATCGCCACTAAAGAGACAAATGCGGTCGGGCGTGGTGCTGGCCACCCATCATCTCGTGTGCTGTCCTGGCCTTCAGAGGTGCTCGCAAACAGCACTTGCCCCAACAGTCTGTTGAGGCTATAAGGGGCGTCTTTGTCTTTGTCTGTGTGTGTGAGAGATGTGTCATTGCATGTGTGTACGTGTGACATTGTGTACGTGTCTACGTATTTAATTGTGTATACGTGTGAGATGGTGTGTCATTTTATGATGGTGTGGCTGATTACATGTACGAGTATGATTGTGTATAGCTATGCATGTTAGTAGATGTGAATGTGTATTTATCCATGTATGGTTGTGTTTTAGTGTGTACGTGCACGGTTGTATGTAATTATGTGTGCTTGCGTGAGATTGTGTATAGGCGTGTGATCATATATGATTGTGTGTCTGTGTCTGTGGATGCGTATCGTTGTGTATAAAATGTATGTATGCGTAAATGTGTCCGTGCGTCTATAATGCATTATACGTGGGCAACAATGTCTATACATGTGTATATCTACTGTAATTGTACCCGTGTGTGCAGTGTAATTGTGTATACGTATGCGATTGTGTGTGTGCCTGCGTGTGTGCCCTGTGTGTATATGCGTGTGTACCGTTGTGTGTGTGTGGTCGCGCGTGTGTGTGGTGCATGCATTGTCCAAGGGCGAAACTATGGCTTCCGTGGTCATCACAATGCGCTATGAAACGGAGTTGGATTCCCGATCAGGAATAACATCGGTTGGATATCTGAAACGCTCCTGGGCCTCCTTTAGATCGACTCAGCCTTAAATAATTACCTACTACGGCGTGTAGTCGAGTAAAACAAAAGATTAGCGCAGGGAGGGAAAGTGACAAAGACACCATCGTTTCGTGCACCGTGCAGCCCTTAATAGGTGTTCGCTAACAGCGCCTGCAACAACAGCACAGGCTGATGATGATGGTTGCGATGGTGATGCTGCACGGAGGATCCATGTCTTCTCCGTACAGTGCCAGACCATTGCGCGATGTCGCATGCACCACTGTATGCGCAATACACGGTGATGGAGGAGCCGTTGCGATGGTGATGATGGTTGCGATGGTGATGATGGTGATGATGGTTGTGTTCGTGGTGATGGTGATGATGGTTGCGATGGTGATGATGGTTGTGTTCGTGGTGATGGCGAGTATGGTCGTGGCGGTGATGATGGTTGTGGATGGTGATTATGATGGTCGTGTGATGGTAATGATGGTGATTATGATGGTTGCGATGGTGATTGGGATGATGGTGGTGGTGATAGTTGTGATGGTAACGATGGCGATGACGAGGCTTTGCACCGATGCACCGGACAGCAACGGAGACGAGAGACGCGACGGGAATGGGGGGAGAGAGACACACACAGAGAGAGACACACAGACACACACACACACAGAGAGACACAGAGAGAGAGAGAGAGACACACACAGAGAGAGACACAGAGAGAGAGAGAGACACGGGAGAGTTGCCGCCGTTATATGGGGGGATGGATGGGTTTGGTCGACTGCAGCTCACACGGGCGGGTACCCTGGTTTAGGGGACCTCATGCAGCGGGGTAAGGAGGGGCCGGGGTTCAGTGTTCAGTGTTCTGGGAGCCGTGGGTTCGTGTCGAGGACCGCTCCGAATGGGACCCGGACCAGACCCCGACGTTATCAGACGTGCCCCTCGAGCGGCGTGGGTGTGCATGCCGCCGGGTGATGAGTGGAGGTCTGCTGTGTGTGGCTGTGTGTGACTGTGTGTGCAGTGTGTGACTGTGTGTGCAGTGTGTGTGTGTCACTGTGTGTGACTGTGTGTGTGTGACTGTGTGTGACTGTGTGTGTAGTGTGTGACTGTGTGTGCAGTGTGTGTGTGTGTGTCACTGTGTGTGACTGTGTGTGCGGTTGTGTGTGTGACTGTGTGACTGTGTGTGTGCTGTGCGTGTAGTGTGTGACTGTGTGACTGTGTGTGCTGTGGGTGTGTGTGTAGTGTGTGACTGTGTGACTGTGTGTGCAGTGTGTGTGCAGTGTGTGCAGTGTGTGCAGTGTGTGACTGTGTGTGACTTTGTGTGTGCAGTGTGTGTGTGTCACTGTGTGTGACTGTGTGTGTGTGACTGTGTGTGTAGTGTGTGACTGTGTGTGCAGTGTGTGTGTGTGTGTCACTGTGTGTGACTGTGTGTGCGGTTGTGTGTGTGACTGTGTGTGACTGTGTGTGTGCTGTGCGTGTAGTGTGTGACTGTGTGACTGTGTGTGCTGTGGGTGTGTGTGTAGTGTGTGACTGTGTGACTGTGTGTGCAGTGTGTGTGCAGTGTGTGCAGTGTGTGACTGTGTGTGACTGTGTGTGACTTTGTGTGTGCAGTGTGTGTAGTGTGTGTGACTGTGTGTCCAGTGTGTGACTGTGTGTGCAGTGTGTGTGACTGTGTGTGTGCTGTGTGTGCAGTGTGTGTGCAGTGTGTGCAGTGTGTGACTGTGTGTGACTTTGTGTGTGCAGTGTGTGTAGTGTGTGACTGTGTGTGTGCTTGGTGTAGCGTGTGACTGTGTGTGTGCTTGGTGTAGTGTGTGACTGTGTGTGCAGTGTGTGTGACTGTGTGTGCAGTGTGTGACTGTGTGTGCAATGTGTGTAGTGTGTGTGACTGTGTGTGCAGTGTGTGTGACTGTGTGTGTGCTGTGTGTGCAGTGTGTGTGCAGTGTGTGCAGTGTGTGACTGTGTTTGACTTTGTGTGTGCAGTGTGTGACTGTGTGTGACTTTGTGTGTGCAGTGTGTGTAGTGTGTGACTGTGTGTGTGCTTGGTGTAGTGTGTGACTGTGTGCAGTGTGTGTGACTGTGTGTGCAGTGTGTGACTGTGTGTGCAGTGTGTGTGCAATGTGTGCAGTGTGTGCAGTGTGTGCAGTGTGTGACTGTGCGTGACTTTGTGTGTGCAGTGTGTGACTCTGTGTGACTTTGTGTGTGCAGTATGTGCGTGCAGTGTGTGTGACTCTGTGTGTGACTCTGTGTGTGCAATGTGTGCAGTGTGTGCAGTGTGTGACTGTGTGTGACTTTGTGTGTGCAGTGTGTGACTGTGTGTGTGCAGTGTGTGTGACTCTGTGTGTGACTCTGTGTGTGCTGTGTGTGCAGTGTGCGTGCAGTGTGATTGGGTGCGGAGCTGTGTCTGTGTTTAAGTGCAGTATCTGGCTATGTGATAGTGTGTGGCTGTGGGTGTGGCTGTTATATTCATGTGGCTGTGCGTGTGAGATTGTGTGTGACTGGGTGTGTCTGTTAACGTGATTGTATGACTCTGGATGTGTGTGTGACACTTTATGTGATACTACGGTTCGCTCGCTGCGCTACAAATCCGGCGACCCGAGTTCGATTCTCGCTTACGGCCAACACCCGTGGAGAATATCTGAACCGGTCCTGAGCCTCCCCTCGGTCAATTGAGTACTTGGTGCGATGTGTAAACATCGCTACGAGGGAGACAAAGGCGGCCGGGCGTGGCGTTGGCCACCCACCCCCCTGGTGTGACGTACCGATCCCAACAGTCTGTTAGGGATCTTTGTCCTTGTGTCTATTTATATACAGTAATGTATGTGGCTATGAATGTGTATGTGTGCGCTTGTGTATGCACAGCATGTTCATGATGTGTGTATGTGTGATTTTGTGGATGCGTGTGCTTGCCGAGTGTGACAGTTTTGTGTATGTGTGTGTGTGATTGTAGCTGAATGTTGTGTCATTTTGTGTACGTTGCGTGTGATTATGTGGCTGTATGTGTATGAATTTGTCAGTATATGAGATTGTGTGTGGATGTATATGGATGCATGGTGTGTGCTCTTGCGTATCTATGCGTGTGAGCTTGAGCGGTGGCAGATTTGGTTAGCGCACCCGGAGAACTGAGTTCCCGTTCCCGGCCACTCATAACATGAGTAAGCGAATGTCAGAAATGGTCCTGGACCACGCCTAGATCTACTCAGCCTAAAACAAGTGCAGTTCAGAGTACTTGGTGAAGTGCCTGATCGAGGGCAGCAGTGGGGGAAGACAACATCGGGCGTGGTGCTGCTGTTCGACATCGCACTCTTGCGTGTGTCCTGCCAGCCTTAATAGGTGCTCGCTAACAACACTTGCCTCTAACATCGCCTCGCTAAGTCGTAGAGCTCCCTTTGAAAAGCAAAGCGACTAGGCCCGGTAAAAGCGGCCCACGTGGCTCAGCTGAATATTATTTCGATATTTTTTTCTGCGAGACATTTCCACGCGATAAGCCACCTCGTTGAGCTGTCATTTGTGGCCAGGTCGCTTCTTAAAAGTTAGATAATAGCTCATTGGGCTAGTAAGAAGAAAACCGATTGTTCAGTTTTATTTGTATATGTTTGTTAAGTGATTGGTTTACATTTCCTATACAATGCGCTCCAATCGTGGGTTTGTATTTGTTTGTTATTGCAACGTTGTGACCCGGCTTTAATTGGACATCTGTCGACTGATGAGGCTGGTTATAATTATTGTACCGGCAAAATGTCGTCCTCGAATTGTAAATGTTGTGGGTTTACTCTCCAACGCCCCGGTGCGCTGTACTAGTAACTAATTGGCACTTTCTGTTCACGTGACAATCCTTACTAATTGGCTGTGTCGGGTGGTGGTGGGTTTAACTACACATTTATATTTAATCTATCTATCCGAAAAAAAAACCGCTATGGTGGAATTGGTCGCGAAAGCCATACTACGTGTCAAAATGTGACGAAGAGCTTTACTACAAATAAATATTCTGATCAGTCTACCGTGTGTAATCTCGACGGTGCCAATCACAGACCAGGCTGCCTGGCTTCTAGGTGGTCATGGGAACGCCGCATTCAAAGTGAACACTTTGCTCGTTTGCCTTTGTGTACACACACGACTTGTTAACGTGTCTGTATAGATTTAACACCACCGCCCAGATAATTTAAGAAAGCTTCATTTTACACTTTTGTACGTTTAATAAAAAGTGCCGTTTTAAGGGTCAATTAGCGAAACCAGTGACATGACTTCTATAGCCAATCACGGGTAAGGTCGGCGTGCAAGTGGCTCAACCTTGGGCACGTGGCCGTCACTCCCCTAGGGCGACTCGGCCTGAAATGAGCACGCGCGAAATAAAATCAATCGCGCGAGCACCCGCGTCAAATTGTTATGCACTGAGAAGCTTATTAAGAGCAAAATAACGCATTACTGATTTCATGCTCCAATAATTAACGAGCCACTTAAGTCTGTATAGCGGTGCAGAGTTTTGTTATGTGTATTTTTGTCGTGTTAACTTTCTTTTGTTGCACCAAGTGAAAGCAGAAAATCCAATCTCACGTTGTGTGAACATTCAATTGTTGCAAGGGAGCCTTGCGAATTGACATATTACTTTTTGGTAAAAGCCAGTAGTGGCCTCCTCCCACGCTAGCCCGACACATTGAAAGAGGTGGAAGTACCCACACTTGACCCCACCGTAGGCGACCCCGCCGCTGCTGATCGACCACCGTGGCTTTCCAATTTCATACCGCTGGGCCTACAGAGGCGAGGCGGAGGATTTCAGAAATGTGCCCCATTGCTTCCACTGCCGCGCTGGGAGATCGACCACGGAGGAGCTGACTAGACGGGTTTTTCGTGGCTGGGTTATTGGAACTAGACCTGCATGGTTTCACACACGCCACCGCTTTTCAGCCCATGTTTAGGCAGTCTTTCTCCGCACAAAGCACTAAAAACAATGGGCACACGCCGCACGCGCCTGATGATTGGTGAACACGTCGTGGGTGTGGCCAGCATCGCATCGGGACGCCCGGTCGCCTTTGCCGCAAAACTGGGCGCTGATGTGAATCGGCGCACCGTCGCAATGGTGCACGGTTTGGACTTGAGGCTGAGTCGAACTAGAAGGAGGACAAGACGAGGTTTGGCCAGGAATTCAACTCAAGATCGTAGCGGCGTGCGAACAGTAACTTCTGCATCACCGAAAACAAAGATTTCCCATTGTATGCATGTAGGATGACATGCGAGCACTCATTGGGCACACATACCGCACATGAGATGGACAACACACACACACACCAATCAGTACATACACACGCACGCGGTGCATGCACACAGGCTGAGTCAACCTAGGAGAAGCCCATGACACTTGGACTGAGATCATCCGTGGCTTGGGATCGAACTCGGGTTACCGGGACAGTCGTGGACCAGCGAGCGCGCTAATCACTGCACCATAGCTAGGAACGGCGCACAAGGGGTGATGCCGTTCTGTATTCCCCGTGATGATGTTGCAACATAACGCCGGGTACTCGTTTAAGACCGAGTCACTGATGTCAGCCGCGGCCGGGAATCAAACCCGGGTCACTGAGTTTGTAGCGCAGTGCGCTAACTACTGCGCCCCCCCCTCCCACATATGCAGGACACACGTGCACGCACACACGCACACTCACACACACTCACACACACACGCACTCACTCACACACACACGCACTCACTCACACACACTCACACGCACACTCACACACACGCACTCACTCACACACACGCACTCACTCACACACACGCACTCACTCACACACACGCACTCACTCACACACCCGCGGGATACGAAACCCCCACGCGCGCGCGGAGTCTCCGTGGACCCAGGTGCGAGCATTGATCGGCGTGGATTGTGCCATCGTGTTTTTAGGGGAGGTGGTGGAGGAGAGGGTTTCAATTAACCAGGCGCCCAGGCTGCTTGGCCGATCGATGTCCCGGAGCGAGATGGTATCTCCCGGGATAAAATTCACGTAAGTGGAAGGCCAAATATCAAGTTACCCGGAACAGTGTGCGTTCTTGGCATATCTCGCAAGCCAAGCAGGTTACAGCCTGGATGGTGCTTTGATGGGGGGGGGGGGGGGGTGTCATCATCGTGCTCGCGGAGCAGGCGGTGGTGGGCAGCAGAGGGCAGTGGAACAAACACCGTTGTTGTTGTTGTCCTGTCGTGTGCTCATACGTTTGCTCCAGTCTTAACGCTCGCCGCATTCACAACCCTGCACCGCTCAGCGTGCTGAAGTTTTGGTCAAATAACCCCCCCCCCCCTATCCACGGTATGGCGCGTGCTCGTTATACACAGCTGTTTCCTCTGTCCCGGTACGCCAATCGGTCAGCAACAAACAGCACGGTCGAAGTTTGCCCTAGGTTCGCGTTAACGCGTTTGGTGAATTGAGCAAAGTTCTTCTAGGAGCTTTGGAAAAGAGACGACGGGAATGAGAGAGAAGTGAGCAGCAAGTGTCTTGATCTGCAGCAGCACGGTATTCGAACTGTGCGGATGAGACGAAACAGTCTGGTTTTGTGAATGAATCGGTTGAATAATAATTGAACATCGATGTCAATGATCTTTCCCACATATTTCCTCTGTCTCTCCGTTCCACAGGCCCACTGCGTGCAGACTGGATTCAGAAATCTGATCGAGTCGGGTCCGGTCTGCTCTGCATATAACGCCGCGTAGACCGAGATATGGACGGGTTCGATCACACTGGGTGAAATCTGGTCGGGTCAGACCGGATCGTGCAAAATGCATGTATGTTGAACTTCCTTCGCATCGAACGGAGCGAACCGTGCTAATCAAGAGTTGCGATTCGAGTCGGGTTGGGTAGACTCTGAGTTATCTCTAATAAGATCGGGTCGAATCGGGCCGGATCGGGTGAGGTCAAACTGGGTCGGATCGGGTGAGATTACATCGGGTCAGATCGCGTTGTCTCTAATAAGATCGAGTCGAATCAGGTGAGGTCAAACCGGATCAGATTGGGTAAGGTCAAACCGGGTCAGATCGGGTTGTCTCTCATACGATCGAATCAGGTGAGGTCAAACCGGGTCAGATCTGGTTGTCTCGAATAAGATCGGCGTTGGGGTTGGGTCTTGGGTTGGGTCAGACCTCGAGACGACGCAGCAGCGGCAGCGGCGTCGCCTTCTCTCGCGCAAGACTCTGCGACGGCAGGGGTCATGACTGCCACGTCGCACACGCCCTCGGCCAGGTCTCCACTCCCCGAAGGTGAGCGTGCAGATAGAGACATCGGCCGACCTCTGCAGTGCTGCCGCGGTGGTCCACTTTACTCCAGTGACCCGGGTGCTGCTGCGGGGTCAACTTTCTGCCCAGGCTCCCCCCCCCCCCCCCTTCTCTCCCCCTCCCCCTACTGCCGAGGCCTATATAACCTCGTGCCACGGCAGATCTCTCGCCTACTTCAGCAGTGTTTTCTTGCTGTGGTTGTCCCACCTGATGACGATTGCTTGTGTTGCGATTGAAACGTCGTGATCTATTATTTTTCTACCTACGTGATTTTACCGAAAGAACCAAAGAGTATAGATTCCTACAGTCACGAAAGCTTCAAATCAAGATTAATTTTGTTTCGCCAGAGGTGAGAACGGACTCGAGAGGCCAGGGGGGAGGCCATTCTCATTTGCAAGAGTGAACTGGGTCACCAAATAGGGGCAAAAAAGCCAAACAAAATAAAAAGTGTAGCGAAGGAAGCAAATATAGATCGATGCAAACACAACTGTGTCACCTGAGTGATAATATTGCACGCAAAAATACCGCACGGACAAAAATCAATGTTAAATTTAAAATTTATTGCGGGCCGATTGTAGTATAATCACAATTACGTGACCGAAACGTTAAACGGATGTCTTGGTTACTTTTGCACTAATATGTAAACGGACACAGATACATGTCAAATGCAATTTACAAGTGAGAGAATAGGTTTTCCCATTTTTTTGGCAACAAAAGGATGTGAAAACACCAAACTGAAACCTTTTACAAGGAATCATGTCTGCAGTAACCGCAATACTTGTGGTCAGAATGCAAACAAAAAACATACTTTGATAATATATGCATTGTCTTTGAAACTGGTCCACACCAGAGACAGCTTTCTTTTGAGCCTCGTCTCAAACGGTGTTAGACCAGAGGATGCCAAAAGGCGTACACAGCACAAAGACAACCCACGATCAGAGTAATGAGAGCTCTGGGTAAGCAGCTACATCATGGGACCTCCTTTTCCAGTACCAAAATATGAGAAGTGATCATTCATCCATTCGTTTATCTTACCCCATGATCCACGAATGGATTTGTACGCGTGGGGAATCGACACTTTTTGGTTCACCTGTGTACATTATTTTTAACACTGATTGGTTTACGTGACTTCTGCAGCCACTCGAGGCCCTGCATCATTCACAGTGTTCACAAATACTGGAATCGAGTACCGTACTCGAACGAATTGTTACCGTCCCAGTCACCAGTAATACTAACATTACAACATTCATTGTAACTCTGTAAGAAGGCCATTGCATTGGCAATAAAAAAACACATTTAAGTCCATCAGCCTGTCAGCATTCTGGACCATTGTGTTCCAGCAATGTTTATTTAAGCAGGCAAGCCCTGGACTGGTTTTGACATCTTTCTGAGTTTCACCAGCAGGGTTTTATGGCTTATTAAACGTCAACACATTTTCAAACGCTGCTGTTATAGGAACAAGCCCTCTAGGTTTTTTGTTAAGCAAATTATTTTGCAGATGTGTAAGCACAGATAGCGATTTTTAGCAGGAATTGTTCAAATGATCATAAAAGCTTGAAATCTGCCATGGATATGATTGTCATTTGGTTATCTTATAAGGAAAGCAATGATAGCCACCTTGACATCCAATATGGCTTCCATTTTCCAAGATGGCTGCCGATTATTTCCGTTAACGTCGATTTTGGATAGAAACTGTTACCTGATGACTTATCCGAGTGCCTTTGTCCATGCATAAACGAATCGTGCTATCTAGAAATTCTTCCAGTGTTCCATTCCTTTTAAAATAATTTCTGCATGTGCTGATGTAAACTAGGTGTTATCGCATGGTGTGAACAGTGTCATTTGCGTGGGTCTCGTGGTCGAGGGCAGTACCTTTTGCTTCAGCAGTCATCTGCGTCCTCTGCACGGACTGCTGGTAGTAGCGTAGCGCAGCATGAATGCCATGGAACCTGGTGCAATGAATAAAAATGGGGGCCCCCAAATGCCCCCCACGTCCCTCCTCTCCTCACATCTCCACATGCTGATGGCGCATTTCACATGTGCGTGCCTCCAGCGATGTAGACCGTAACTTCTAAGTCTCACGTGAGTGGTCCACATGCATACCACTCCTCCACCAGTCACAGCCACCCAACTGCACAACTTCACATTGTTCCAATAATCTGCAATACCCCGGAGTGATTTCCTACGTTTGTACACATTGAAAGCCAGACCCTTGTCGGCTTGTGGGCCCTGGTGCGGTTGCACCGCATGCACAATTTGATAGCTACACCACTGTCGGCTCTGGATCTCGTAACTTGCGACCAACTCACGCCTCTTAGCTACAAGTGGTTGCCCGTGCCCGGCAATGGCAGCATCCCGATAAGCCGCCGCGTTGGTATCGCGAGATGAAAGTAGGTGAAGGCAGTGTGTGGCGATGATGGGGTGTTTCCAGCTCAAATTTGAAATCCATGCTATCGTCTTTCTTCCTGCGAGATAGCGGCAAGACAGAGCTGCTCCACTTTCGCGCAGATAAATTATCTGGAATAAGAACGACGCGGCTAATAGTGACGAAGGAAGATGGAGAACACGCCATCGACGGCCAAAATGATTCCGCCGAGACGATATGGCCTCGAGTACGTGTGAAGAGGCAGTGCAGTAGAGGGTTGGATATAAGCACACCTGCTATAAGCAGTTTTGATATAAGCAACACATCCTTATATTATACGGGTTTGGGGGGGACAAAGGGCAACTTCTGATACAAGCACGATTCCACACACTCAATCTGCCCTCTTGCAACATGCAAAAGTACATTGCCTATCAGACAGGATACATTGATGGGGGCATGCAAACAGTCTTTGAGCCAGACGCCCATACCTCTTTTCCACTGTGCAACTGTTGTCACAACGAGGCTGTCCTGAGCCAGCCCGTGGCTGAGGAAGCACCAGGTTGTTTGCTTTCCCAATGCAGAAACCGAACCGTGCCGCTGACATCACACGGTGATTAGATGTAGATAATGCGGTGAAGCTGTGTTCTTCACAGCATACCGTGTGACGTGACGCACAATGCATGGTTAGTCCCATCCATGGCCTGCATTCAGATGTCTTATCAACCATGTCTTATGGGACAAATAGCCAGCAACTGAACTAAACTAAACTTTTATTTCACCAGATAAGGCCCACTGATCTATAATGCTCTTTTTTAGAAGCAACCTGGCCACAAATGATTGCTCATGGAAGTGGCTTATCATGTGGAAATTTATAGCAACCAAATACTGGTATCTAAACGCATGTTCCTAAATGTGGAGGGAAAAATCCACACGACCACGAGGAGAACATGAAAACTCCAAATATACAGGTGTCAGGGTCAGGATCGAACCCACGACCTCCTGCATAACAGGCAAGGGAGTTAACATCTCGCCACCATGGCACCCTGGGCTGGCTCAGTTCGGATGTGCCAGTGGAAAAGAGGGGAACCAATGCCTTGCTCTCAGTGGGGATGCAGATCTTTTTGACGACTTACAGCTATTGTGACGACTTGCCAAAACTGACCATGTGGCTGCAAGTGACAGAGTATCATCGTTGGTACAAGCGCTATCGCTGCAGTTTTGGTTACAAAGCGTTCTGAAACTATATGTGCCAAGACTAGCACGGTAATCTAATGAACCTCATCTGCTGATGTACAGATCCACAGTGGTGTAGATTATTTAAAAAAAGGCAGATTTAATATGCCTGGCGAATGTATCCATATCTGTAACTGCTAAGCTCCTCTGTGTTTATGACCGATGTCAGGCTGATAGGACTCGCTGACATAAAACACATCCTGATAATAATAAAAAAACATCCAAGGTACATTTGGAGGCAATTGTTTATCGCGGAATTAGTTTCAGCGTAGTCATATAGACACTAATATTACTTAAAATCAGACAGGTTTGTACATTTCTATGTCAAAAATGGACATTCGCGGAGAAAATTGGTGGCCATCTTGAAAAATGGCACCCATCTTGTATTTGTCAGGGGGGTTCGTCGTTCATTATTTACTGGCCGAATGAGCACGTAACCATTTAACATTTCCATATTTACATCATCATACTCAGCACTTGCTTGACAAAGGGCCGTACAGTGTACGCACGTGATGTCTTGTGCAATGGTCTGTTCTCGGCTACGCTCGAGCTGCCAAAAGGGCCTCCGAGGCTTTCTCAAGCATTCATTTGTGGTTTGCTCTTCTGAGCCAGTGGTGGAGATTCCGCGTTTATTTGACTGGGGGGGACGGACTTGTCCATCCTTAACTCGATCACCTCGCATTTGAACCAAAAGTAGTCGTCCATCTGCACTATTAACTCTGCCTTGTAACAGATAAAATCATAACAGAAAACAATGTATGTGCAAACCTATACCATCCTCATGATGGGGGTGAATGAAAATTATAAATAGCATTGCCAATCCAACCGCACTGTATAAGTGACCTTGTAACCTCGACAGGAGTTGCCCTTCATTCACCACCTTGGTCACTGTTTATACAACATGCGGCACCGAGCGCGGTCCACCAGGTGGCGCAACCTCCACAAACTGAACACACAAAAAATCTGTTCTAAACACATGAGTTTTTAATCTGGCCTTAGAAATCCATAGCTCCAGTGGCTTCCTAATCTCGGAAGGAAGGGCATTCCACACGGCCGCAGAAGCGCGTCTGAAAGCGTGCGATGCAGTCAAGATAAAGTTTGGGGGGGTCAGAGTGGGGTCATGCTGGGGTCAGGGTGGTCACCGCATCCTCCAGGACCCTGTCTTTGTTCGATGGCCAGTCATCGAATTGTGAAATTCATGGTCATGGTTTTTTGGATCACCACCATCATCATCGTTATTTCACACCCCTCTGTGACCTTTTTTCCCCTCCATTGCCCTTCAAGCCCGTACAGGTGACACAGCGCGCAGGTGAAAGGAGGGGAGGCGGAGGGGGGAGGGCCCACCATGCAGTGCCTGGTGCCGGCCAAGGGGGAGGGGGAGCTGAGTGGGGAGGGGGAGCACGTGGACATCCTAACGATCGGCTTCCTCGTGAAGGACCGATGGAAAGTGGTGAGTCCATCCAGCAGCAGCATCATCAGAAATATAATCGGCAGAATCAGCAGCAGTGGTGCAGGGCAGCATATCGTTTTGAGGATCATCATCATCACGAGCTGTAGAATCTTCCATGTCCGCTTAATCATTCTTACGAGCATCAGCAGTATCATTGTCAATGTCATCATCACGATCATCATCGTCTTGTTAAGCTTTCTCATCAACGTCACATCATTACGAGCAGAGCCGTGATCATCGGCGTTTGCAGCAGCAGTTGCATTATCTTTCTGATCATCGTGACGACATTATAAGCCGTGTCGTTAGTAATTGGTGTCACCGACACCATCATCGGTAGCATCTCCAGCACCGTCATTGTCCCCGCTATCATCATCATGATCATCCGAACACTATTATTTCCACATAGTTTGAAAATACTTCACCACTGCTAGTAACGGACAACCGCTGAAATGGAGCGTCTTATACGATACGAGAGGGAGAGCCTTCATCAGAGAGGAGCAGAAAGACGGAGACAAGCAGGGACACCCCAAAGTACTGCTGCCCAAAATATCGGTTCATCCGCCTCTCTCCATCTTTCTCCATCTCTCTTTGCCTCTCTGTCTCTCTCCGCCACTGTCTCTCCATTTCACTCTGTCGATCTCCGCCACTGTCGGTCTTTCACCCAACCCCTTCCACCTCCTGGTCTCTTTCTCCACCAACCCTCGCCCGGGTCCCTTCCCCAGTTCCGCAAGATCGGGGGCGGTGGGTTTGGCGAGATCTACGAGGCATTCGACATGCTGAGCCGCGAGAACGTCGCCCTCAAGGTGGAGTCGGCCCAGCAGCCCAAGCAGGTGCTCAAGATGGAGGTGGCCGTGCTCAAGAAACTGCAGGGTAATCCCCTCCCTCTCCCTGCCTCTTCCCCTCCCTGCCTCACAACTCTCCTCACTTCTCTGCTCGGTCTCTCCTGCGTATTCCTTCACATATCTCCCTGTGTCTCTTCCCTGTTGTCCCCACCGCTCTCCTCACCTCTCACTTGCACCTCCCCCCTCCTTGTTCTTACCTCCTCTCCTTGACTGCGTCTTCAACTCTCCCTGTCTCTATTCTCATGCATCGTTGTATCTTCTCCCCTCGCCCCCTTGTCTACCTCATCGCCTCTCTCCCAATCTGCTGCAGCTCTCATCACCCCTCCCTCTGCTTGCCTCTTCATCTCTCTCCCTCTCTCTGTCCCTGCCTCCAAGCATCACCTAAATCTGCCGGCTTCTCCTACACCCTTGTCACCCTTTCTGCCCGGCTCTTGCCTTGCCTACTGGCTGCAAGCTTCAGTGCCTTCCTGCCTGCCTACCATCTGACCCGATTGCTTTTTTTTCGACCGACTGTCTGACTGACTCCTTGTCTGCTTGTTATTGCTGGTTGTTGTTATTGTTGGCATTATTAGTGTTGCTGAGTGTGCCCTGCACATTATTGATTCGCGCGTTACTTATTGATGTTCCGTGATTGTGTTCCCAATGGACTCGCAAAACCGCATTTTGAACCCCTTCAACCACTCACGCCTTCACCTCCCCCCACGCTCTCCCACAACCCCCTCGTTTCCCACAATCCCCTCGTCTCCCACAATCCCCTCGTCTCCCACCTCCCTAACACCGCCGCAGATCCTTCGACTGCGCTGCTGCGCGCGCAACCAGCCCTTGAGTCCGCAATCACGATTCAATTCGGGAATCAATTCCCTGTACCCTCCCGTCTGTCCCGTCTGTATTGTCTCACATGCTCCATCTCCCTCATCGTACCCGTGTGCCTATACCTGTTCTCTCAGTTGCATTTCCTCTCCAATTTGTGCTCTCCCCTGCTAATTTGCCTCGTCTGTTCTGCGTCGCCTGGATTGTTTATTTTGATTCGGCTGTTTTGTTCGTACTCTCTTCCGTCGACCTGCTCCGCACAATCGGTAACTTCCCCATTCCGTGTGTCTATTTTACAGCGGCTTACTTGTTTGTACCGTCCGACGCATCTGCCATGTCTGTACTGCCTTTATTTTTGTCTTTCCTGACTCCCTCGTTTGTACTGCTTGCCTCGCTTATTTATTGTCTTGATAGGTGCTCCGTGACAGCACTTGAGCCGACTGTCCATCAGGGGGCATGACGGCAATTTAGAAGTTGGGGCGGGTGGCAGAAGTATCCACGAGGGTCCAAGTTGGGCACCTCGGTGGCGAGATGTTATCTACCTCGCCTGATATACAGGAGGTCGATTCCGATCTGATTGCCTTACCTACAGCCATGATTGTGCGGTCAGTAACTGCCCATCCCATCTGTACTGCCCAGTTCCCTTCGACGCGTCACGTTCGTCTTGTACTGTGCTGTCTGTACCAAGTGTCTCGTTTGCCCTCTCCCGTCTGTTCCGACCCTTAAGACCGAAGGAATATCGATTTAAAGCTTTCGTGATTGCAGGGATTCATCTTTTTGGTTCTTTCGGTAAAGTCACGTAGAATGGAATAATAAAATAATAAAAATAAAACATAATAAAATAATTCCCACGACGTTTCGGCCACAACGCAAGCAGCCGTCCTCAGGTGGAGAACAGGCCTGTTATTTTTATTATTTTATTATTTTATTATTTCCATTCTACGTGACTTTACCGAAAGAACCAAGAAGACCGAAGGAATAATTTGCGTGTAGTTTGCACGAATTAAAGAAAAAAAAACTTGATTTAGTGAGTCTATTTCGTTTAACGGCGTGAGAACCGAGGAGACCAGAATCGTGTGGTGCGTGAACAAAACCGACCTGGGGTCGTCGCCAAGATTACAAACGGCAAATAATGCGAAACACGTTTCATAACTCGTTTCTTTTGGGTCGTCAGATCATTGTGGAGGGTATCATGTAAATGTTTAACCCGTAAGCCTCCAACACGCGACAGAACCAATCAAATCAAGTTTTCACGTCACGGGCGAATACGGCCTGTTCTCCTATAATGCGTTAGTTGCGTTCCTGAAGAACACCACGTTTTGGGAAAAATCGCGTTGTCATAAATAATATATAACACAGCGTAAAGCACAGTCCACGGTAACATGTGAGATGCGTACACAGGCTGAACAAAGACAGAGACTCGTGGGTTGCATCTGGAAGCATCCAGCAGCATCCCACCTCGCGTGATGCTACGCCGAGGCAGCCGTTACGGCCGCGTCTTCCTGCTCGCGCGACGTCGTTCTGTTCACTCGATCACGTGATATCCAATTCGCTTCCCCGTTAGAAAAAAAAGTGTGTCCGCTAAATACATTCGCCACGGTATATACAATTCGCGTTGTGAAAACACGTGGCATTGTAGGAGAACAAGCTGTACGCAAATTGATTTGCTTTTGCAGCAAAAACTGGAGGAATGTCGGAAAGCGAACAAAACTTTGACAATTTTGAACACCTAGCTGGAAATTACATCCAGCATCATCAGGTGATGAACACGAAAGACGTTCAACATACATGCATGCACACACGAAAGCTCAGCTTTCGCAACGAAACACTTCCTCGAGGGTTATAGCTACAGATTGACATTATACCTGCACGATCTAAGCAGAAGGCAATGACTTGTGAATCGTAATATTGGTCGTGAAAGTCTACGAATAGAAATATGTTTACGTAAATAAAACGCTGCAAGTGGAATTAAACATAACGGGAATAGAACAACCACGTTAGAGCAGAAATAATCGATTCTCATGGCACGATTCGATTATAATCAATGTAAATTGATGACCCATTATGTCGTGACATTGGCCTACTCTCCACCACCCATTTGACTTCCCTGCCCACCCCCCTCCCCCCACCCAATGTCTCCCCATGCCCTCTCGCTCATCCTGTGCTCTGTTCACCGCTTTAATATTTAAAGGGATTGATGGATGAAGTGGGGGGTAGAGGGGTGGTTGTGGCAGGGCGCGGTGGGAGTTGAGGACATGGGATGGCATTCTCTGGCCCGTGGTGGTGGAGGAGGGGTGGGGTGGTAATGGGGCTGACGTAACACTAGACACTAGTAACCGAAGACTATCCAATTAGGCAGTGTGTTAGTCACTGTGCCTTCTGCGTGCGCTGCTCTGGCACGGCGTGACTCTCTTTGGTTGCAGGGTTCCTGAAAGAACTGGTCCTGATTCAATACCGGTCGGGCTGTGATCATTTGTTTTATTTTCAAAAGTTATTCCTGATTATTGTTTGAAAAATGTATATATATAGAGAGAGTACTGTATACGATATTGCCGTTGTGATATCGGTATTGTGTCGTGCGACAGAGGTACTGTGCACCGTCACATGCCTGGACGTCGCATATCCACCCCGATCAACTGGCCGCTCGTAACCAGTGCGGTATTTTTGCACGGTGCAGTCGGAACCGTCATTTTACACAGATGCTCACGTATCCGACATTTTCACTTGTGTGTCCGCCTAGATCTCGGTCTCCAGCGAGTCGGGCGTTGCTATCATTGCACCGCGTTTCCATTAGCTCTGGCAGCGAGCATTGGCCCAACCACCCTGTGTTGGAGATTGAGCGTGGACGATTGCCATCGTGGAAATAATGCTCAAGTAACTATACTTAGAAGCCTCGTGTATCCCACACTCGGATCACACCGTTTGGATGCCTTGCAAAGACCGTTTGTCAGCATATCAATCAATGAATCAAGTGTTTTCATTATCAGAGTTGGACTTTTATTTAAATTACATGAAAAACCCATATAGTATTTAACATGATGGGTTTTTTATTGTTATACAGCCATGAGTGACCAGGCTGGGCCCATAAACTTACTGCACTACAGAAACTCAGTATATTTACGGGCGGCTAATTACTGGATCCGATTCTAGAATATCAGCAATAAAGGCTTCCCAACCCCTTCCCTCCACCCAGTCATCAAACTACTTAACTAAACAATGTTTATTTTACCAGGTCAGGCCCCACTGAGCTACATAGCTCTTTTTCAGAGGCTATCACAAATGATAGCTCAACGAAGTGGCTTATTACGTGGAAATTTATAACGGCCAAATACTCTAACACGCGTGTTGTTGATTGTAAATGTGGAGGGAAAAGCCAGAGGACCCGGAGAAAAATCAACGCGATCACGGAGAGAGAAACATGGAAACTCCAAATATACAGGTGTCGGGGTTGGGATTGAACCCACGACCTCCTGTATATCAGGCGAGGTAGTTAACATCTTGCTACCAAGGCGCCAAACTTTGACCCTCGTGGATAGTTCTCCCACCCGCCCCAACTTCTGAACTGTCATCATGCTCCCTGATGGACCGTCGGCTCAAGAGCTGTTAGGGAGCACCTATTAAGGCTGAGCCCCCCGCCACCTGTGAGAGAGTGGTGTGGGGGGGCAGCACCTCGCCCGGCCGCCTTTGTCTCCCCAGAGGCGATGTTCACACAACGCACCAGGTACTCATTTGAGGCTGAGTCGACCTAGGGGAGGCCCTTGACCGCTTCAGATAATCGTCAGTGGTGTTGGCCGTGAGCGGGAATCAAACTCGGGTCGCCGAGTTTGTAGCGCAGCGCGCTAAACCGCTACACTATCACTCCCCCCACACAAGATGCACACACACGCACTTCCATCGCGCGTGCTCAACCATAATCCTTTCCATCTCTCCCCCTCTCTACCTCCTCCCTCGAATCCTCTTGCGCCAGGTAAAGATCACGTCTGCCGTTTCATCGGATGTGGGAGAAACGACAAGTTCAACTACGTGGTGATGCAATTACAGGTGAGTGGTCAATAAACAACAACAGCAGCAGCAGCAATAACAATGTCAATTTTTTTTTATGTGGCCACAACGTTTGTCACTAACGACTCGGTGGACTCACCTCGCCTACCGTGCCCCCTTCTTCACCCCCCCCCCCCACCACCACCACATGCCCGAATCCTCAGACCTGCTCGACCACCACTCACCACTCACCACCACTCGCCACCACTTTTGCACCAAAAAAATCGAATGAAGCTCAAAGGACGTAGTCAAAAAACACACACGTGGCATTGATTTCGGAGGTAGGTAGACAGATGGGTGGCCACTTTTAATGATCAGCTGAGAGTCTGCTACCTTCTATTATTATTTACCCAGGAAAGCCTCACCGAGTCTCAAGACCCTTTAGCGGAAGGATCCTATGAAGTTTGTCGCAGCGATGTTGCTGTGTTATCCCAATTTAATTAATTGAATTTTGCGTTTGCATTGGGATGTTTGGCCAATGCCAGGAACATTGTATGTGTTTTAGCTGTGGGAGAAAACTGGAGAACCCGGAAGGAAACCCATGCAGAGCAAGCGGAGAACAAACTTCCCACGCTTACTCACAAAGATCCCCCACATAGCCTCGATCAGAAGACCGTTAGGGGAAAGCACACACACGCACACCAACTTACTCTCACACACACACGTACACTCTCACTCACACTTTGGACAACAGTGGAAACCCATACACACCCCACACGGAAAGGTGTCCGAGTCGGGAATCGAACCCAGGCCCTTCTCGCCGTGAAGCAGGACTGTCGCCGCTGTGCCACGCTGCCGCCCTATGACCAAATGTATCCCTCCTCACCCCCGCTCCCCGTTCAGGGTCGGAACCTGGCTGACCTACGTCGGAGCCAGCCCCGCGGTACGTTCAGCCTCAGCACCACCCTGCGCCTCGGGCGCCAGATGCTGGAGGCGATCGAGAGCATTCATGCCGTGGGCTTCCTGCACCGAGACATCAAGCCCGTGAGACACGGGGGGGGCTGGGGGGGGGGCTGGGTGGGGGGCTGGGTGGGGGGCTGGGTGGGGGGGGCTGGGTGGGGGGGCTGGGTGGGGGGAGCGGCGGATGGGTGCGGGAAATGGTGGGGGAGGAACGTCACGTGGCCAGGGCTTAATTTCAGCTGGGTCCAGATAATATTTCCATACACCCGGCACACCACATCCAGTACACCTCTCACTATGGCTGTGGCTACTACTAGTCACGTGCCACCTACTCAAGTCTACCGGCGACGCGGAAATATATTGAGTGAGAAATTAAAATCGTGATTGCGGGGATACGTGGGAACGCTCGGGGTATTTCTCCGTGCATGTGACTATGCCTGTGTGTCCGACTCATATGAGTACCTGGTGTGGTGTGTAAACATCACCACTGGGGAGACAAAGGCAGTCGGGCGTGGTGCTAGCCACCCACCCCCTCGTGTACCGTTCCGGCCTTCATGGGTGTGCTACTCGCTAACGAGCACTTGCCCCAACAGTCTGTTAAGGCTATATGGGGGATCTTCGTGTTTTTGTGTGTTTGTGTGTGTGTGCTCGCGCGCTTCACCAGTCCAACTTCGCCATGGGTCGCCTGCCCAGCACCACGCACAAGTGCTTCATGCTGGACTACGGCCTGGCCCGCCAGTACACCAACTCGAGCGGGGAGGTGCGACCGGTGAGGAACGTGCCGGCCTGGCTATCTATCCACTGCCGCTCCAATGCACTCCACGGCAACGCCCACACGCTTAGAATATCGATCGGTTCAACTCAGCTCTGCGTCGGTCTCAACTGACCCGTTCGGTAAGAAGCATATATTAATAAAAAATGATGTATAGTCAAGAGACCAGGATGATGAGTGTCGTTTGCTAGAGTGACCCGGTCCACAAAAATTACATAAGCAAAAGAAATAAAATAAAGTACAGCAATGACACAAACAGAAATATCTGTAAAAACAACCGCATCATTTGAGAAATCGAAAATGCTGCAAAAACATAAATCAATGTCAAAAGTATACGTTCCCTGTAGCGTCAGTTGACTTGGACAGATTATCTTTAGACGTATATAAGTGTGCATCGCATGGTTGAGAAAGATAGGGATAGCTTCGGGAGGCCTTTGTCTAGCCGTGGATTGATCATGGCCGATGATGATGATTATACTTAATACATGTGTAATGTAGCACTCAGAGACACTGTCTTGTTCAAGTGTGGATATATATTTATTGTCTATTACGGTCCGCCCGACTCGATGGCATGTTAACGGGCAGATGTGAGTTGACTATGTACAGTGGGTAACTTTATGTAACTGATACACGACGTTCGGAGTAGCAGCTACGGCGACGATATATAATCTCCCCCTGGTTTTCCAAGACGATAAGGCGACCCGCTCCCAGATGGTGAGAATGATCCACTCCTAGATGACGACAGCGACGGCGGCCCAACTTCGAATCCCCACAGCAGCCCTGAGCCTCACTCCGCGCTGCCTTTTATCTCCCCCTCCGGCTCAGCCACGCCCCTCGACTCAGCCATGCCCCGTTTCCAGAACTCTCTCTCTCTCGCCTCATTTGACCCTGCCTGTCACTGTCGCTTCAACTATTATTTGCGGCCACTAGGCCCCGTATTGTCCTTACACATGCTTAAATATTAATGAAGGGGTGGTGGTGCAGTAAAACCAGCGACCAGAGTTCAATTCCTAGCCATGGGTAACACGAGTGGTGAGCGATATCTGAATCGGGTCCTAGGTTCTCTCTTCACTCCCTATCACAAACCCACACTGACCAGTGTGGCGAAGTTATGGCCAAACAACCGCCACAACAAACGTGGTGGATTGACGGAAGGGCATGTGTAAGTGTTTTAACTCACGGCTGGGAACGTGTTAATTTAAATTGGTTCTAGTTTGCGTCTGTTGTTCGCGTTGAAGAGTTTGCTCGCGGTGAGCGTGGCGTTTCTCTTGCAAGTCGCCGGGAGTATGTGTGTGTCAGTCACTGGGTTTCCAATTCACTATTTCCAATTCAAATAAGTGGCGATTAATCAAAAAAATCTACAGGACAGGCAAGAATGTACACGTCCTTCCCAAAAAACGTTTCCTGCTCGCGAAGACATTTAACAAAAAAACCTACGTGTTCTTCACACAGTCGAATGAATGCGCATAGGATGCGGCGAATGAGATTTAACGGGAAATCAGACATACGTGACAAGTTCCGTCCAATCGCAGTCACAGTGAGGACTCTGCTGACCAAACGATTTGTAAATCATGGCCAATGTTGAGACCTTTAAGTGGCCACAATGGAGTAATAACCCTCTTTTGAAAACAACGTGAGACTCGATTTACATACTGCATTTAGATTTGAATGAGCTCGGTTATTAACTCGTACTTCTTAATGAACACCAGCCACGTTGCCGTTCGTGGATTCGTACACGCGTTGAATCGTGTGAGAACTGATTGTTTACATTGTAATAAGGATGATTTTCTCATGCTACATTTAGGCTAAGGGTGCTAAAGCTGTATAAATAAGACACAAACTAACCCAGATACAGTGAAGTGAGACGATAAAAATGCGAGAAAAAATAATTGATGACCATTAAAATCTTAACCCGAATTCATCAAATCGACGTGGATGGTGAATTGTTACAATCGTGAATGCCATGGGGTGCTGGCGGAAATCGCCAACCGATAAGTCACACAATGTACGACGGTACATCCATTATTATTTTAAAATATATTTACAATTGCTGCCCAAATCTGGGCAAATCTGAAGCATGAAAACTACCAGATAAAATCACAGACGTGTGTTCAATATCGCTACACCGGCGGTTGCGTGCCGTGTGTATCAATCACTGCGCGCTAAAAACGCACCTAATTTAGCGAGCCTTTCTTTAAATGAACTGCACACATCCCCGTCACTCTCGCGTCACTGCCGTGCCAAGCTGCCATCCTCGCTCAGACTAAATGCATTGCGGGCGACGAACGCCCTGTGGTTTCCCGTTGTGCGTCGTGGTGTTTGTGGAAAACCCAGCGTGCAAGGGGCAGTGGGAGGGCTTTGACAGCAGTGGGCGCCCCCAGGCGTTGCGGCACTGCAGTGTCCTTGACTCAAAGCGCAGCAACAGCCCCACCTCACTCACTGCACCGAGCCAACCCCCACCCACCCCTCCCCCGTCTACCACCCCCAACACAACCGTCACTCTCAGTACAAGCCTCTGGCAGCCAGCACCTACGTCACAGACACCACCCAAAGACAAAGATCCCCCGTGTAGCCTTTTAACGGTCTGTCGGGGGACAAGTGCTGTTAGCGAGCATATTTTAAGGTCGGTACGGTACGCCACGGGGTGTGTGTGTTGGGGGGGGGGGGTTGGCCAGCACCACCATTTAAGGCCGAGTCGACCTTGGGGAGGCCCAGAACCGGTTCAGATAAAGCATCAGTGCTATTGGCCCGTGAGCGGGAATTCAATTCGGGACGCCAGATTTTATTGCGCAGTGCGCTAAGCACTGCACTGCCACTCCCCACAAGACACTCGTGTACATGCCTATGCATCGACACAAACACATACGTGTACGTGCACACATACAGACGGCTTTAAATCCACACGCATGTATATACACTGACCTACACACATGCATACGTTTGTATGCCCACGCAATGACTTACACGCACAAAAGCATATCATGCCTTTGCACACACCCACACATCCACACACATGTAGTTGCTGCACGCACTTACATATATGAGCTCACACAGTGATCTACACGCTCGGGACTCATTGCTTAAAGAGAGGGTCCTTCCCTATTACGTCTGGCAGTGAACCAGCATCGATTCCAAGAAGGCTGATCCTGCTGGCGAGACACCATATGTCGAAACCGGTCCAGAGTGTTATTGTACTGAATCGATGAGGCTGAAATGATGCACTCCCAGAGGGCCGTTAGGCCAAAGGGTTCTGGAGAAGCACACTTTTACTTTGTTCACATGGAGGAGTCGTATCATCCGCTTGTCCATTTTGTTACGCACACATGCATCCGTGAACACGTGCACATGCGATGACCTACACGCGTGCGTACACACACACACACACACCCTCCCTCACACAACATGTATGCGCGAACATAGCCCTCTCGCACAGACACACACAAAACGCATCCACTCTTATCTCGCACACACACACACGCATCCAAACACCGCCCATGCACATCCACACCCACCCACCCTCACCCACCCACCTCTGCCACACAGAGGTTACAAATTGGCTGCTACTGCTGCTGCTGATTTAGCACTTTTTTTTTTACAGCTCAATGTCTCAGCCAATTCTGCCTCATCACAAATGAGCAAACACTCTGGCACTTGTCCTTACAATGCTGCAATGCTGTGTGCGGCTGCACGCGCGCGTGCTGTGTGTGCTGTGTTGTGTTGCCTATGTGGTCACGGACACTAGAAAATGTACGCAATCTTGTTTATTGTGTATTGGTTCCATCACTGCCCTTTTCTGTAATCTCCATTAAACCTCATCATGTCGACGACGACCATGTGGGTTCTGTCGGTATATGTATGATCTTTGATGATGAGAACGATTTAACTGTTATGGATGATGATGTTGAGGATGTGAGTGCTGTAACTAAAATAATTATATTTGGGGATGATGATGCTGATGTATGTTACCCTTGTTGTTGTGTAGCCCCGTGCTGTGGCTGGCTTCCGAGGCACCGTGCGCTACGCGTCCATCAACGCTCACAGGAACAAGGCAAGTTAGACTCAGGGTTTGAGCTTGGGCTAGTTTAGAACGACCCGCGACTTCCTTTCACACAGCCCGCAACTTCATATCACACAGCCCGTGGCCTACAAGAGCACTACAGTACCCGAGTTGAGTTCCCGAACGCATAGCTATCAACAGTGGCAATTATCTGAAACGGCCTTGGGCCTCCCCTAGGTCAACTCTGCCTTGGATGACATGAAATCATAAGCACTTGAGGAGCAGAGGTCGCAACCGGGTACCCGATACCCGTATCCTACCCGATACCCGGCTACCCGTACCCAGCTGGGTACGGGTAGCCGTTTGCGACCCTAGTGCGGCCGGGTACGGGTACGGGTAGGCCGTGAGTCACTGGTGAGTCACCGTTTGTCACTCATTTCAGGTAGGGTATGGGTAGGGAACGGGTACCCGTACCCGGCCGGGTACGGGTACGGGTACCCATTTGCGACCCTGGTGCGGCCGGGTACGGGTACGGGTAAGGAATCAAAACCCGTTTGCGACCTCTGTTGAGGAGACAAGGTGGTCGGGCTTGACGCTGGCCACACCATCCCTTTGTGGATTGTGCTGGCCTTAAAACAGGCGCTCGCTTTTAAAGCATTTGCCCCAACAGTCTCCATTGTTACGTGAGAAATCGTTGTCTTTACGTGTGTGTGAATTCACGGTGTTTCGATAGGAAATGGGACGCCACGATGACCTTTGGTCCCTGTTCTACATGCTGGTGGAGTTCACGGTCGGCCAGCTCCCATGGAGGAAAATCAAGGACAAGGTTTGTGTCCCAACGTTCGAGGGTAATCGGGATAATTCCGTTCGTCTTGTCGGCTAGAGAGTTAATTGATGTCACCCAGGCCGATTGAAGCGACTTTGGAAGTAGTTCTCTGACGTCATCTCCTGGGAACTGTTGCCCGACTCGGGATGTTTCACTGCTCCTTGCGACAAGTTCGGAAATGGGAATTTCCTTTGTCGCGTGGCATCGTGCCAATAGGATGAATCAAATGCGATTCGGGGCGGGGGGGGAGATAATACAATTGAGATGGTAAAATAAATACGTGTCGAAAGGGACCGCTGAAACGATACGCTTGGTTGAATCGTTTTCAGAGGTGGCCACCATTCGACGGGGACGATCACAAAGGGGCGAGTTTTGTCCATCGGCCACCTGGTTCGCCCCCCCCAAAAAAAACCTCATCCAGGTGCCTCGCATTCTACCGACCAAAGTGGAATGGTGATGATCATAATAATAATACAGAGTGCTTAAAATTGTTTTTATACTTATGAGAATTTGCAACAATACCACAAGCAATGTGCCTCCGGGCTCTGGACACCACCTGGAGAAGATTTCATGCACGTGTTGACAATGATGGCGAACAAGTGGAGACTCTTTGACCTTTTGAAGCTTTTAACATATATCTGTTATCATGTGACGGTGTATTATCCGTTATTTTTCCATTAAAAACGATAGTCCCATTTAAGTGTTACAAATTTTTTGACACACCCTCTATTATTCATTCCACTAATAACTACAGCAACGGTGACGACGATGATGACGAACGGGTGAGATCTTTGTCTCTTGGCGTCTGTAGGAGCAGGTCGGCCTCATCAAGGAGCGATACGATCACCGGCTGCTCCTGCGCCACATGCCCACCGACTTCCACATTTTCCTGGACCACGTATCCACCCTGGACTACTGCACCCGCCCCAATTACCAGGCAGGGCGATCCCCCCCTCCCGCCGCCTTCCCGCAAAACACGTGGATGGGGCAAAGGGGGGCAGGGGGCCATGGACAGCAGTGGAGTTATGAACGCAAAACGTTAGGCGGCCATATAACTTGGCCATGGCGAGGCAAATTGTTGGTTGGAAGAGCATTCATTCCCCCGAACCGCCAATTAGCATGATTGCCTATATGCGGTGCGACGGAAGTTCAACAACATACATACGAACCAACTAGACCTAAGTATGAACGCTAACCATACTTACCAACCAGACCCAAGTATAAACACTAACCATACTTACCAACTAGACCGAAGTATGAACGCTAACCATACTAAACAACCAGACCCTAACACGAGCATTATCCACATTGGCCGTAGGCATATAATTCACCTTCCTTTGAGGAATTGTCATGAGTCAATGTCACGATTCGATTCAGGAATAAATTGTTTTTGTCTTATTTGTTCAACCTCATTCCGTTTTGTTTGTATTGTCCGTCTAGTCTGCACAGTCTAATGTGCACTGTCCGTCTAGTTCTTTCCATTCGACTAAACGCCACCGCTGGAATCGAATGCTCAATTTTGATCGGTGCCCCCTATCAGAAATCGTTTCATCTCCACCGCTTGGTGGTAGGGGGGTGGGGAAGATACATTTTTACACCGAAAACACGTGGGGACACTCACTCAGTGTTCGCTGGAGCGTGACTTGGGGCAGGTAACAGTGGCTCCCTGTACTTGCTGTGGCCAGTGCTGTCGGCGAGCAACCTGTTTAGGCCGATGCGGCGCTCTGCGAGCGGTGTTTGTGAGGCCAGCACCGCCCGTATTTTAGGCCGCCTGCTCATCGCGGGACACCAGGTGCATCGCTTGCAAGGCGAGACCACGACAGCCCACAGTACACCAAGTACGAGCAATGTTTATTTTTGATCTGCCGGCAAGATCACGGGGCGTCGTGGACAGGAATCAAACTTTTGGAATTTTGGAATCCGTGTGTGCACACAGATACACATACAGAGATCTCCCGCATCGCCTTTTCACAGACTGTTCGGGCAATAACTGTCAGCGAGCACCTATGGGGCCGTCCATAAATGACGTCACACACCTAGGGGGAGAGGGGGGTCAGACATTTGTGACGATGTGTGGCAAGGGGGGGGGTTGAGAAATGTGATGTCACATCAAAATGCGCAACTTTAAATAAATATAGACAACACGTTCTACTATAACATCAGAGTGCAGCGCCACATTAAATACGCACTACAATGACAATAGTTTAAAGCGATTTGAAGCATGTTTTATTTGGGGGGGGGGGGGGCAGAGCTTTGTGACGTCATATTTGAGGGGGGGTCTGACTTTTTGCGATGCCGTGTGGCGATGGGGGGGGGGGGTCAAAAATCGTCCAAAATCGCGTGACGTCGTTTATGGACGGCTCCTATGAAGGCCAACATGGCACACGAGGGGGGTGGTTGGCCAGCACCACAGCCGGCCGTCTTTGTATCCCCAGTTGTTTACTCAGTCAATCACAGATGTATACACACACATGTAATAATGTAACATTTTGCATTTTTTCCTTCAAGCGTCTGTCCCCATTTAATAAACTTCATTTGTCTGTCAGTCGCAGCAGCTGAGTAATTGACATCGTAGACATTTGAGCGTGGCTCATATTGACCACAAGGGTCCAGGGACCTATGGTATTGCTGATGAGCTACCCACGTTTAACTAAAATAATTGTCGAGAAAAAAAACATCGCTTTTTTACTTAAAAAAATGCGTGATGTAAGTGTTGATATGAGCACGTATGTTGAACTTTGTTCGCGCCGTACGTCGCCAACCGTGCTAATCAGCGGTGTGTGTGGCTTTGCATTTGTGTGTCTCTGTCCATCACCGCCGGTACCACCACCACAAATATTGCCACCGCCACCGCCACAACCGCCACCACTGGCTGTGCAGCTGCTGATGTCGGTGTTCGAGCACAGCATGCGCGAGCGCAGCATCACCGAGAACGAGCCGTATGACTGGGAGAAGGGAGGCCTCGAGGAGTCGCTGGCCAGCACCACCACCTCCACGCCGCCGCACCACTTCACCCGTCAGACCGCCGCGATGTTCGGGTGAGGCCCCCGCGGTGACGGTCAACAGCGGTGAGGCGGGGGCGGTCGGGCGGGCGATGTTGGTGTGAGGGCCGTGCGATTTCCTGAAACTCCCCCACCCCACCCCACAACTATTTATCGTGTCAGCCAATCATTGAACTGGGTAAGTGGTCAATATTTTGTGTACATATACAGGGTCTTCCTCTGCGCACTGCAGTCTCTAATAACACAACTGAATCATCTCAGTTGCATTGTCTTTGCACTGTTCACCTTTTGGCGTTCTCTGGTCTGACACTGGTGAGACGAGGCCATAAGGAAGGCTGTTTCTGGTGTAGGCCGATCAGTTTCAAAGACAATGCAATATATGTTTGTTTGCATGTCCACCACAAGTACGTGCGGTGAATGCAGACTTGATTCCTTGCAAAAGGTTTCTATTTTGTGTTTGAACATCTCAACACCTGTTTTATTGCCAGAAAGGGTTAAAACCTCTTCTTAATTTTCAAACTATGAATCATCTCAGTCCACATCTTCATTCACCCGTTCATGCCGTCTCGTCACAGTCGGGAGTGCATTGGGTTTGGGCATTCGTCGTAGTCGCCGTCACGCTCGAGGCTTCTCGTCCACCGAAATAAAAAAGAAGCGACGCTTCTTAGGTACATATATTTCACTGCCGATTTCTGCAACAAAAACAACTGCCGGCCCCAGGAGTCTGTACGGCCGTCCAGAGCAAAACCTTTGCGTGGGTGTGCGCGTCGCAGCATTGCGGGGACACCCCAGCCCGGTGCGGACGTTCTGCGCGAGAACACGGACGAGGTCCTGCAGGACGAGCACCTGAGCGACCAGGACAACCTTGGGGGCGGTGGCGGCGTTGTCGGGGGGTCGGCCCAGCCCGGCGGGCCCCCACCAAGGGGGGCCGAGGCCGGCGGGCCGCACCTGCCTCACATGGCCTTCAACTTGGAGGCCGAGACGTGGGATGAGACGGACTTCAACCGCAACCGCCTGCGCATCAACATCTGCAAGGCGAGCCGAAGCGTGATGCCTGCTCGCTCGCTCGCTCGGTCACTCGTGTGCTCGCTCACATACTCGCTCGCTCACTCGTGTGCTCGCTCACATACTCGCTCGCTCACTCGTGTGCTCGCTCACATGCTCACTCACTCGTGTGCTCACTCACATACTCACTCGCTCACTCGTGTGCTCGCTCACATGCTCACTCACTCGTGTGCTCACTCACATACTCGCTCACTCACTCGTGTGTTCACTCACATACTCGCTCACTCACTCGTGTGCTCGCTCACATGCTCACTCACATACTCGCTCACTCACTCGTGTGCTCACTCACATACTCGTTCGCTCACTCGTGTGCCCGCTCACATGCTCGCTCACATGCTCGCTTCATCGTGAGCTCACTCACCTTTTAGTTCAATCTTCCACCTGCTCACTCGCCAACCTACTCACACACTCATTCGCACATCCACTCATTTACGTGATCATTCCGTCTGTCTGCTACTCATTCAATCATTTACTCATCCTACACCTCATCTTATTTTACATTTATGGAGAGCGCCTTTGTTTAAGGCGCTTTGAACATTTTTTTAAAAGTATAAATTAATTATTGAGATGGCAGGGGCATGCATGGAATGAGGAATGGGTGGAGGGGAGGGAAGAAATGGAAGGGTCGGTGGGGGTAAGCAAGGGGAAGAGAATGGGCAATGGAGAAGAGGTGAGCATGTGAGCTTTAAGAGAGGAACGGAAAGGAGGTTGAGGAGGAGGACTCCTTCAAGTTCAAGTTCATTTATTAGGTATAGCCCTGTGAGCCATTCAGCTCTTGAATCGGGTGCAACCGCAACAAACAAAAAACAAAAAACATGAACAAAAAACATCTTAAAGTGAATATGTGACTAAGTGCAAACAGAAAATCCAAGAAAAGACAGCAAAAATATTGCCGAAAAAACACCGTACACCAACGCTGTGTGCAAAAATCCCAGTGGGATGCAAGTCAAACAACAACAACAACCACAAGACAACTTAGATTAAGGCCATCAGTCTAACTCTGTACTACAACAACACAAACATGGCTAAACCAATACACTTTTCGAAATCACCAAAATAAAGCCATGAAAGCAATGAAAAAGCAATCATAGGAACTGTGACGGAATTTTCACAATAAATGGCATAAACAACATGTACTACCAAAACCCTGCAGCCATAGCTGGCTGCATGAGTCACTCCACAACAGCAGGAGCATCAATCGGAGTATTGTAAATTTTCAATGCACCTTTAAGATCAGCACACTAAATCAAAACACAGGTCATACTTTGTAGCGATCATCCAGAGCGAAACATTTTATTTTAGGTCACTGAGTAGCACTGGCAGCTAGGGGTGTACAACTCCTCTAAAGCAGTTTTGAGTGAAGATCTCATAGGTAGTGACTCAAGTTTCAATTTATTTGCAACAGCATTCCAGACCCTGGGGGCATCAATAGCAAAGGCCCTTCCTCCAGTATATGTACGGCAATAGGGAATATTAAGCTGGTAAATGAGTGTAGACCTTAGGTCAAATTTGTTCTTTGAAACAGAGACGAGATCCAGCAGGTAATCTGCAGATTTTTTTGCAAGTACATCATGAATAAATAAGATCTGGTGCACAAGCCGTCGAACATTCAGAGATGTTAAGTTTGACCCAATGTAGAGATCACAGTGGTGAGTCCTATATGGGCAGTTCAATGCAAATCTTAAGGCCGAGTGATACATTGAGTCAAGCTTCTTCAGTACAGTACTTGGGGCTGATTTATACACAATGTCACAGTAATCAAGTAGAGGCAGTATGGTAGCTTTAATCAATTCCAAACGGAACATAGGGGGGAAGCAGTGCTTGTGTCGATATAGAAAACCAATTTTAATTTTTGTCTTTTTCCCAATATAATCAATGTGATCTTCAAAATTCAGTTTTGAATCCAGGATGACCCCAAGATACTTATAGATCTTGACTTGCTCTATTTGATCATTATTTAAGGTATGTAATTGGGGAAAAATAACTTCCCACTTTAGTCCTGGTGAGAAGCATAGCACCTTGGTTTTGGCAGGATTTAGGACTAGTTTAAGAGCAACTAGCTGATGTTGTAGTTTGTTGAAATCACTCTGGAGCTTAGCAATCACGTCATCCGGAGAGCGGCCAGCAGTAATTAGTACCGTGTCATCTGCAAAAAGATTTACCCTGGAATAATCCAGTTCAGTGCCCAAGTCATTTACATAAAGAGAGAACAAGAGGGGGCCGAGAATGGAACCCTGTGGAACCCCTTTTGTTATCTTAACACTGTTTGACCTCCAACCCTCTGTGAATACAGTTTGGGTGCGAGAAAAGAGGTAATTTTTTAACCATTTTACTGTGTTTTTGGAAAAACCGAGGCAACTTATTTTACTAAGCAGGATGTTGTGGTCTAGCACTCAACCGTCCACTCAACCCATTGAATAATTCACCTGCCCATTCACTCATTCACTCACTGCACCACTCACTCGCTCACCCGCCCCTGTGACCGTTGTTGACTGCAGACGCAGTGTGGCACAGAGGAGGACCATAGCCCCGGCGGGGTGTGCGGCTCGCCGCTGGCGCGCGCTCAGCTCGAAGCCGTGCTGCGGGACCGGCTGCCGGGCGAGCGGCCGCTCAGCTGGAAGCTCGTCGGCCTCAACGGGCCCGACTCGGCCGAGCGCTACCTCCTCGCGTCGCTGCAGGCGGCGCGCGCCGACTGTGCCGCCGAGGCGAGGTGAGACCCACGGCGGCGGTGGTCCTCGTCAACGAGCGCCCAGTCATCGCTGGGGGCCGCCACGCTCTCATCCGAAGCAGAGTGGCAGATCCTGTCATCTGCGCATGCCTCTGAAAGTTGTTGTCCATACGGTTAAATGCAAATGTTAAATAAATTGCCCTGGTGCAGATCGGGAGGGGGGGGGGGGGTTCTCCTTTATCAAGAAAGGGAACCGCAAACATTGTAGCAACTCCTCAGGTGTGCCTGCCAGGGTTATCCGACATCGCCTTGTGGAGCCCCAATGTGATTTCTGCCTGGGACCATCTTGTACGGACAGCATATTCTCTCCCTGTCTGCTCCAGTAGAGGATGCCACACAGAGAGACAACCACACACACACACACAGAGGAGTAGGCCCAGCTTAAATCTTCAAGGACAACTTCTTTTCTCTCTCGTGCCATTTTTCCTGCAGGGGTGCGACTGCGCAGGATGATCGGGGTGCAGCGCTCCACGGCTCCGGGTCAGCGTCGGCAGCAGGGGCGGGGTCGGGGTCAGGGGCAGGCCCAGGCTCGGCGGGGCACGCGGAGCGGAGGGCTGGCGGGGGATCGTCGCGCGTGGCCTCGCTCGGCGACGCCGTCGCCCACGGACGCGGAAAGTCCAGCGTCGAGGCCACAGCGGCTGCGGTGCCACCCAGGAGTGAAGGTGACTGCTGAATATATTTCGATGATTTTATGGCGGCGAACTTTATCTTATTCATATTGATGTGGGTGAGTGGCGCTATTGCTGGAGACGATACTGTGGTGTAGCTATTGAGCCTGCAACTGCACAGGCGTCCAGAAGGGAGCATGGGCCACGGCAACTACGCCACACCACTAAACCCATTGTTCACATTTATCCATGAAAATAACTCTATCAAAACATAAATCATTATTATTCCATGTGCAGGCGAGGCCGTGTCAGGCCCCACTGGCGCGGGCGGCGCTGGTGCCGGTGGGGCCGCCTCCCCGGAGCAGGCGAACCCCAGCAGCGGCTTCGTGTCGGTGTGTGGCGGTGCCCCCAGCGACGACTGGGTACTCGTCGACAAGGAGGGCGAACTCCGCGACTTCCTTCCGATCTCCGGCGCCGGCAGAGCGCAGCCCGCCTCCGCCGGCGCCGCTGGCCCCTCGCCATCCGGCCCCGCCGGGAGCGGCGCGGGCCCCGAGCGAGACGTCCGGCGGCCGCTCGCTTGCACGGAGCCGAGCGAGGACGAGGAGGAGCCCGAGGTGCTGCACGTCTCCGACGAGGACCGAGACTCGCCAGGCAACGGGGGGCGGCGAGAAGCCACGTCGGGGTCTGCCACGTCGGACAGGGGTTCCCGGGAGGGCCAGGGTTCAGGGGAGGAGAGGGGAGCAAGGGCGGCGGTGGCGGCTGCGGCCGGCGGGCTGGTGTGGCGGCTGAGCGCGTACCCGGAGCTCAAGTCCACGCTGGAACGGAGTCGCACCACGCTCGGGGTTTTCTACTCGGCACGAGGGTTCGACCCGGCGGGGGCGGCCGACAGGGCCGGGTGGAGGGCGATGGGAGTGCCGCCAGGGCAGGTCGGTAGAGAGGGAATGGGGAGGGGAGGGCGCGAGAGGTGGTGTGTGAGAGAGAAGGAATAAAAGGAGGGACCCCAGAGAGAGAGGGTGAATGAGAGAATGTGAGAGATGGAATGGGTGAGAGACTGAGATAGAAAGACACAATGATGGGTGAATTAATCAGGCAATGAGTGAAAGAACAAAAGTGAATGTATGATGAGTAATAGATAAATAAGAATCAGAGATGACTGGTCTTATGTCATCGACCTCGCTACACTTAAGAATTCGGTTTAATCACGGGTGGCTACAAACCAGTATTCAAGGCCAGGATCTCAGCAATGCTGGCTCGGCACTTTAACACTCTTGACCACATGGCCATCTCTCGGCTCAACTGTTTACAAGCCGTGCCCTGCTCTTCTCCTTGCTGCTTATTTCCCCCCACCCCCACCCCCCCCCCCCCCCCCCCACAGGTGTCCGACATGCGCACACCGCTGGCCGCGATGCGCGCATCCTCCAGCCTGGAATTCGTCTCCCACCCTGGCGGCAGTGGCACGGTCACGGAACGCCACCGCGGGCCGTGCGGCCTAGAAGCGGCGCTCGCGGCCGAGGTGCCCCGCTCGCTGGCCCTGCTCTCCGACCACGGCGACGGCAGCCGCTCCGAGCGCCGCTCGTCCCGCGCCAGCGGCCGCAGCAACGGCGCCATCGACGCCGAGCGGCGGAACGGCGAATCGCTCGGGGCGAGGATCGCTAGCGCCGCCACCGCCACCGCCACCTTCGTCACCGCCGCCGTAAACCTGCCCGCCGGTTCTGGAGGCCGAGCCGCCGTGGCGGCGGCGTCGGGCCGCACGGCCGTCCCCGCAGAAGACGGCGAGCGCTTCCGCTCGTCCACCATCAAAGCGGACGCGGACGACGAGGAGGGCTCGCGCACACTCGTCACGTTCTCGCCGGGCGACGCGCGGGGCGCCCGCTCGCTTGGCGCCGCCCTCGACTCGACGGCGCACGACCAGGAGGCCGGGGCCGGCGCCACCGCCGGGGCGCTCACGCCGCATGATAAACCGTGGCCGCCGGGGCCGCTGGCGGCTGCCATCGAGCTGGAGGTGCCCGGCAGAGACGAACAGAGGGGCGGTTCACCGACACTGTCTCGGGCGGCGCTGCAGCCGGGAGGGCCCGCTGGTGCTGCTGAGAGGCTGCTGCGGCGGCGGGGCAGCACGCAGGCGACCGGGCGTGCCTTCAGCCCCGAGAGGGTGCAAGCGTCACCACCACACTCCCCGCAGCAGCAACGCAAGGACACGACGATGATGGCAATGGCTACGATGTCGTCGCAGGCGGAGCTGCGCCGCAGCTTCGAGGGCGAGTCCAAGAGGGAAACGCTCGCCGTGGTGCCGTCGTCGTTGGCGTTGAGGCCCAGCGTGAGACCGTGCCGCGACGGAGGGCCATACTACGGCGCCAGCATCTCCTTGCGCGCCGGCCTCGTCGACTCGGTCACCACGGCGGCCATGACGACCGTTACGGCTGTGGCGGCGGCAGCGGCGGCCTCCAAGAAGAGCCACATCCCCGTGCCGGTGACGCACAAGGAGGACGGCGCCGCCCTGCAGCTGGCGTCGGCGAAGGACAAGCTGTTCCAGCGGCGGTTGCACCCCGTCGATCTATCGCGCCTGCTCGCCGGCAAGAGGCAGGGCCCCTTCAGGGCCATCCTGCTGCCGTGCGGGCCCGCCGATAAGGCGGGGGCCGATGAGAAGGCCGGCGGGCAGGCGAGCCGCCGGGAGGAGGCAAAGGCCGGCGACGAGAGGGAGGAGAGTGGCAGCCCGCCGCGGTCGCCCACGTGGAGGAGCAAGATCCCGCGGCCCGTGTCGGTGATGGCTGGGAGCCTGCCTGGGTCGGGGCCGGCCACGCCGCAGCAGTCCCCCACGCGCACACCCACCAAATCAGCCTTCGAGGCCAGGTGAGCTGTTGAGTGAAAGTGTCGGGCGGATGTACGTATATTGATTACCCTACCGGTTATCGGTTACTCGGCCAACTGGATAACGCCAGAAGAGTTTGAGGGAAAACGTTTCACTTCCGTTCCAGTGTGTGCTGTGATCAAGATTATAATAGACTACTTTTGGCAAGGTAAAAAAAACACGAAAGTAACTTTTTTTTTTACCAGGTAAGGCCCACTGAGGTATGTAGCTCAAATGATAGCCCAATAAATTGGCTTATAACGTGGACATTTATCTCAGCCAAATCCTCTAAATGCATGTTTCTCATGTGGAGGGAAAAAGCGGAGGACCCGGAGAAAAATCCACACAACCATGGGTAGAACACGCAAACTCCAAATATCCAGGCGTCAGGGTCGGGATCGAACCCCCGCAACATCCTGTATACCAGGCGAGGAAGTTATCATCACCGTGATGATGGGGCAGGGCCTGGTGACATCATTGGCATGGCTTGCAGGGTGTTTCGTGCCTTCACGAGGAAGGATGTGGATGACGAGTGCGTTTTTTAAAAAGGGACCCAAGTAGTCGGCTAATGTTAAAAAAAGAAAAAGTAGTCCATTATAATCTTGATCACGTAATTGACGAGGTTAACGAATCACCCCAGCTCTGCATGTATAATGTTCTGCAGAAAAAGCCCCATTATTAATTTAATTCCGGAATGTCCACCTACAAACTGCTGGGGCACGTTGTGAGGTCACGAACCTGCCCATGGCCCTCCGAGACGCTATTTCACGCGTAGTTCATGCCCGACAATGACACATGCCTACCTCGTACATTCGCAACCCCGTCACTCTCTCCCTTCGCGTTGTCCGAACGCACGCGCTCTGGTGCTCACTCATTTAGCTCCCACTTGGCCCACAGATGGCAGTGAAGTAAGTGGTGGACGTCGAGCTGTTAGTTGATGCCATTGAATTCGTTTTGCCTGCTCCGGTCAGGCCCACTTCCAGAACACGAAGCTGCATTTTGTAAAAAAAAAAAAGATGCAGCATCTTGCTCATTTGTACTACTTTTAATTCTTTACTTATAAATTGGCATGATGGACAAATACATGTCTTCAGTAAATCAATACTGCTATCAATACTGTTATATTTTATGGAATGGTGCTCTTTGAGCTCAAGAATTTACTGGTTAACGAGAGCGCAGACATTAGCCCGTTAATGAACCCGGATTGTTGGAACGCAATTTCACATCGCAAACTCCGTTTTGCTGCGTATAAGAGAGATCGTGAGTGGAGACTTTTTAACGCGTATAAAAACGCGTGTCGAGTGATTATAGCTCATCGCACGCTAGCTCCCCGAGTTTGATTCCCCGCCATGGCAAAAAAATCGGTGACGAGTGACAATACGTATTTATGTGTGTAGTGACGCCAACACACGCTGTACTTTACTCGAAGCCTTTCATTCAGACACAGCACTATATCCAGGCCCGGGCTTCATTCTTGGTGTTTGAACTCCGTCTCCTCTCCAACTGTCCCCTCCCCTTGTGCTATCCCCTTTTATATTCCCCGGGCCCCCTTTCTGGAAGCCTCTCTCGCCCCACTCCCTTCAGCCAATCCTCGTCCTCCTCCTCCAACGGTTGTCAACCGTCGGCCCTACAGTCAACCCTCGTTTCCCGCCTTTTACGTTTTCATCTTTCCTCCAATCCCTTTGAATCTCATCTCCTGACCAATCGACTTTGAGGCCTCCCTGCACCAATCAGAGGCCTCGATTGTCTTCTTGACTGTCCGTTCCCATGTGTACTAATATTAAAGCTTCTGGTTACACCCGACTTCTCCCTCTCTCTCTCGCTCGCGGATGGCGTGTTGTTCTCCGCGAGTTGCGCTGACCCGTGCCACATGGCGCTCGCCCACCCTCCACCTCGCCGCTGGCTGGCGGCGTGCTGAGAGCGGGCGGTGGCTGGGTGGACGAGCCGCCACGTGGTCGATGGAGATGGCTGGGCAGCAGCAACGTGTAGCTCCTTCTTGAATCTTCAATCACCGACCCCGAACGTAACGCTGCCCCCTCTTATATTCCGTTTGCGGGGCTAAGCCCCGCCTCTGGCCACGCCTCTCCTGGAACCTTCTAGAAGGTTCTAGAAGGTTCCAGCAGCTTCCCGGCTAGCTCCTCTCATTAACCTTTCCCCTAGATATAACCCGTCCAACAGATATGACGTAAAGGTAAGCATCGACCAAACAGGAGATGGCGCTCTATCATTACACACGTACGCTTGTGTCAGGTAAGTGGTCTGTTGCCTCGCTCATGACATAGGCTTTTTTATATTTATTTATAGTGACTTGCTTACCTTTTCTCTCTTTTGCACTGACGTACTTTGCATCGTTTGTTGCAACTTGCTGACCTGTTTGGACAAAAAGCTTCATAGCTCATCGGATTGCTCCGGTCTAAATAAAGATTCAAATTGTGACTTCTTAACCAACCTGCACAGACGAGCAAGTGTGGACAAGCAGCCCCTATGAACGACACTGCCCCCACACAGTCCTTCATCCAGCAGTGGATTAATAACATTCTATAAAATATGATTTTCGTTAGAATTCCTGTGTGTGCGTTTTCTGACCATTCAACCCCTCCTCCCAAGAGCTATCACGATTCAGGTTCGTGATAGGATTCCAGACCGCTCTATTTCATAGTGTGGTGAATTGTAGCATCCCCAGTGACTCTAAGCAATGCATTGATGCGTAACAAAATAGTCCTTGGCATCATTGTTCAGACTATCGGTGACGAAATGCATTGAACTGACCAAACGTCACAAAACAAGGCATGCCCGAAGGTAACGCCTGAGATTCAGATTCTGTCTCTGCTGCTTGTTGGCGACGGTCGACTAAACTCCACCGTCGCTGCCGTTAACCACCCGCACGGCGCAGGTCCCCGCAGTCCCCCCGGAGCCCCCAGTCATCCCCCAAGAGCCTGCGGGGTGGCCCTGGGGGCCTCTTCTCGCGCCGCTTGCACCGCTCCTCCCAGCGCAGCTCCTCGCTGCCCCCGTGCAGCCGTGCCGCCAAGCACCACTCGCCGACAGGACGCGCCACCGCCGCCGCCGCTACCGCCGCCGCCTTCCAACAGCAGCAGCAGCACCGCACGGTGACCACCGCCGCGTCGGGGCACTCGTCCTGCTGCGGGCCGCCGGTGACCACCGGGGGCCCGGCGGCGGCCATCGCCGGCCTTTCGTCGCCGCACCGCTACCGGCTGAGCGCGCTCGTGTCGCCGCGCCACGGCCGGCAGCTGCAGGCGCACGTCGCGGGGCTGCTGTCGCCGCGACACGGTGCCTCGCTGGCATTCCGGGATCGCGAGCGGGAAGCAACGGCCAGGTCCGTGTCCCCGTCTTCGCCCTGTCAACAGCAGCAGCAGCAACAGCAGCAACAGCAGCAGCAGCAACAGCAGCAGCAACGTCAGCAGCAGCGGCAGCAGCAGCGACAGCAGCAGCACAGCCTGCGCAGCTCACTGCTCAGCACGCACAAGTTCAGCCGCGAGTTTGCTGCCGTTTCGGGACTGGTGTCGCCACGCCACCTGGTCAGCGGCGGGGTCGGAGGCTTCAGGGTGACCTCGCGCAGGGCTCCGATGGCCACCGCCGCCGCCGCCACCAGCACCACCACCAGCACCGGCAGCGCCAGCCAGCTGCTCATGCGTGCTCAGGAGTCGCCCACCCACAAGAGGGGCGATGCGGCAGGCGCCGACCCCACTGGGCTCAGCAGGTGACGCGGTGGCACAGCGCCGCCACGGGAAGAGAAGTTGCCGTTCGCCCGGGGTCGGTTCCGCTGTCGGGCAGAGCGCAAGCAAGCGCAAGCTTAACGTGAAATTGAGAAGTGAATACATTGATAACGTCGAAGTGGCAGAGAGCTGATTGGTGGTGGTGATGACAACAAGAGGAGCATGGCGAGCGTGAGGTGGCGTGAGCTCGGCACTGCCCGGTGGGGCGATGGCTAGCACGGATCGGATGGGATGTGCGATGGAAATTACGGTCGAAGTCGGCTGCGGTTTTCCAACCACGGCGTCTGAAGGGAGGCGTGAGGATGGGAAAGGGACGGTGCGGCCCAGGCAGAGATGCGCGTCAGGTTTTCATCTGGGCCGGCGAGGAAGCCTGGGGAAAGATGCGGTTTAATGTGCAAACGGTGAAACGCAACCAACAGCTCAAACGCCAACAATCAGACCAAACAGCGTTGCACGGAGACGGGCAGCAGCGTACAAGGGGCAGACCACATGCGTCTCGACAGACAGATCTACACAGAAACCATTGTACGCACATAAGAGATACATCCACGCACACACACAAATATATATATACACAAACACTGACGTGCAATTGTGCGTGCACACACTTTTACACACAGGCACAACTACGCACACATTCAAACCTCGTTCGCACGCAGCTGAACAAAAAAAAATGTGTTTCGACTCATGAAGGCGTCTGACAAAAGGTGGACGGAGAGTTGAATTCTCGTCAATCGGGCTCCCCCTGCCACCCTTTACGTAAATTACCAAGAACAAAGCAATAACTAAATAAGGAAATACCAAGGGAAGGTGAGGGGGTGGGGGGGGTTGCCCTGCCCCATGTCCCCCATCCTCAGCCTAACTCCCACACGAGTGTGAATGCTGTGTATCTGTCAATGCCATCATGCGGTACACACACGTATACAAACTCGTATATATATATGATAATGACGGATAACGATTATATACATAGAGATGATACAGAACAATCCACTCTACATAAAAATGTCAGAGGTCCTGCAATGGCAATGTTATGCTTGCGAATTTGTGATGCACTAGTATGACCCGAGACGGTTATTGTAATGGTTATTGTTAACATATGCAGCCTACGTGCGATTTTAACTGCTCCGCACAGTCACCGTATTCTCAAGCTTATAAGACGCGCCAGAACGTAAGACTCAGCCCCGAAACTTGTGTCCGGTGGATCAAGGTATACAAATATCATCTCACACACACACATATATATAGACGACTATCAGATGCATCCCCCAAATGTTTGCTTTGCAATGCAGTGGAAAAGAGTGCGTCATAATCGTGAGAATACGGTGTACGATTTTTGCGTGTATAATGTACGTTACACACGTGTGTGTATGTACGAATGCGTGCGCGCGTGTGCGTGTGTATATATAAGTAAGCAGGAAATGGCATATGTGTTATGCATTTGTGTTCTGGTATACACATGTATTTGTGTGTATATACTTTATGGCATTTGTGTATATTGCGTACATTTGTGCATATGTATATGTACATGTTGGTTGCCATGTACATAAATATGTGTACATTCTATATTTTGCCGGGAGTGCTAAAACAATTCAGAAGAGCATTTTTTGCTTTTTTTAAGTTGAACAAACCCACTGTTAGAGGCTTTTTTAATTGTTAATAATTTAATGTTTATTTTATTTTTGTACGTGTATTTTTTTATTTCGTTATAGCTTTGAATGAACAACAGTGTTGACGTTACAACAGTGTAATAAATCTTGGCTTAAAGCTTTCGTGACTGCAGGAATTCATATTCTTTGGGTCTTTAGGTAAAGTCACGTAGATAGGTTCAAAGAAACTAACAAAAAACGACGACGTTTCGATCGCAACACAAGCGGTCGTCATCAAGAGAAGGGGTGATGACCGCATGTGTTGCGATCGAAACGTCGTAGTTTTTGTCAGTTTCTTTGAACCTATCTGCGTGACTTTACCGAAAGACCCAAAGAATATAACAGCGTAATATTTTATCCCAATTTGAATGGCCAATTAATAACCAATTAATATTGGGCCAAATAATAACCACAATCCATTCCGTTTCTGTTGAGCAATGGTGTCTTGTCTTCTCATTCAAAGCGTTTGGCAGATCACATCTCTGTTTGCGGGCTTCCATTAACGATGGAAATTCCGCATTCCATAGAAAATTCCCTGCTGACTTCCCCAACAAAGATTGCCTCATTTTATCCACGCTGAAGAAATTATATTAAGTTGATCGCCGATCGGAATAAGTTTTAACTCGTAACCTAAATAGAGCAACGGCCGTTAGACGCGGTACACATTCAGCTTATCTAGAAAATTCCCGTTATTTTGGTTTAAGTCGCCCCCAAAGCGTCCATTGTCACTAAAGTGTTACCTGTATTTTTCTTAATTTACGAAAATATTCACGATTATCAACTCAACTAATTATAGGAAGGGGGGAGAGAGTAAAAAAACTGCGTCGCATGGTAAAATTTGTTGCTAAATTTGTTTTACCAGGGTCATAGGTCAAATGCTGTGTTACATAGCGAGTCATCAGTAGTTCAATATCATAGGACTCCTTATTCCTTTCGTTCATAATCAGCCCTTCCTCAACTCTATACGATAAAAAAAAATACTCAAGAGCTGTCACTGACACACAAATTCCATTTCTTTAGGACTGAATATACAGTAAAGGTATTTCAAAGTCATATTTCGCCTGTTCCTAGACACGTGATTTTACATGATTCACATCTTGGTCAATGCGACCAAAGTGCATCGTAACGCACTGCCCCTTCGCGATCGGATCCTGTTCCTTTGGCAGAAGGAGTCATCATTGGCACAAATGTTACCAAACAAATCCTTGCAAAGTGGGGACATTCACCATAATGGGTAAATTGGACCCCAACATCTGGGGTGTATATGCAGATACCCAAAACGCTTCGAATAATGATGAGAAAAACAACACACAAGCCAGCTGGAAGAGCTGAATGGCGTTCACTTTCCACAGTTATTCCGAAACAATTAATGACAGTCATGCATTTCCCTCCATAGAGCAAATTGGTTGCCATGGAGATTGTAATGGCGGTTATGGTAATTAGCAACGTGACCTCATTCTGCAGGATTGTTACTCTTGCAGCGTGCCGTGGTGAATATCATTATGATGCCTTTGTATTTTTAGTTGCGGTTTGGTAACTCGTTTGCCAAAAAAACTATTTACGAAAGAAATTAATATTATTCTACTCGTAGGGGTGTCGAAGAGTAGGCCAAAAATACCCTATAGAGCTCCTTCTGGAGGCTGTCCCACCAGCAATGGCATGGGCATGAAATTGCAGGGCTGCACCATTACCTTTTAATTATAGTACTTGAAACATCCCCACACCATGCATCCACGTATTTACGAAGCCACTGTGAGCTGCAAGAATACTTGTACAAATTACAAAATGATTATTTAACTCTGTATATAATGAATTTGGAGTGGTGGTGCAGCGGTTCGCACACTGCACTATGGACCGGCGATCTGAGTGTGATTCCTGCCCGTCATGGATGGGGGTAACAATCAGCGGCGAGTGATACTGTATCTGAATTATTCCTGGACACCTTCACCCAACCAGCCAGATCCAATTTGAAGTACGGTCCAACAACCTCTGTGATCGAGGGGGAGGCCTTAATCCAGCAGTGGATTGACAACTGTACATTCTTATTCTTATTCATTATATTAACTCGTGAACAAATTACCTCCATGAAATGCTACTTAATTATAGATATATATATACGCATAAAGTATAACGTTGAAGGAAGTTTTAGGCATTGACACATATACTTGTTTAACAAGCTTCTAGATGCAAAATAAGCAGAACTTTCTTAAACTTGAGTTGTCTCAACCCGATGTTTCATGGCGCAGCTCCTCCACACAGCAGCAGTGCAGCTTTCCCTCGGCACGATTCTTGGGTTGAATACTACACAGCAGAGGTGTGGACTCGAGTCATGTGACTTGGACTCGAGTCAGACTCGAGTCATGAATTTGATGACTTCAGACTCGACTTGGACTTGCATAACAATGACTTTGTCCCACCTCTGTGGTGTGAACTCGAGTCATGTGACTTGGACTCGAGTCAGACTCGAGTCATTAATTTGATGACTTCAGACTCGACTTGGACTTGCATAACAATGACTTTGTCCCACCTCTGCTACACAGTAGCAGTGTGTTCCCAACAGAGCCGGCCCAGCCACTAAGCGACCCTGGCAATTGCAAAGGGCCCCGTGGCCAGCAGAGGGCCCCCTAGAGTCACTGCTAGCTCGTGGGTGAAAAAAATCATACATCAAAGGGGCCTCCAACCAAATTTTGCTTAGGGCCCCCAAAGGTCTAGGGCCGGTTCTGGTTCCCAATCATTCAGATTACTTGAGTAAAAAATGAACACATCTGATTAGAGCCAAGATACAAAGTTTCGGATGATTATGGAAGAAATTTTTTTTTGGATAGATCCGAAAAATGACGTCACTGCCATGTTTTATCTACATCGTGTGCCATCAAATGACGTCAGTATTGTAAGCATGAATACATTTTAAGTTGGTACCATAATGTAGTAGGTGGATCCAAAAAAAGATCAAAAATTATCTTCAAAAAATCTGCAAATTTCACATTCAAAACGTATCCCTAGTAATGCGAGGTTACTGCCTAATAAAGGCATCAAATGCTGATCACGTTGTTGGCTGATTGCAAATTAGATGGCTAAGCAGATATGCCTGGGTCACCGTGTTCACATCCTCACTGTTGCAGCTGAAACATGTCGGGTTGGAACAACTGGCGTCTGAGGCTGGAATTTCCCCCCATTCTTAGACTGTTGAATAAATAATAAAACTTTTAAGAAAAAAATAATACACCCACTTGATTTTACAAACATCCGAAATAGAAAAAAAAATTGGGGGGCCAATAGCACGTTGTGTATATTATACAATTCACTTTAAAGGAGCAAAAACACTCTCCTAGTATTGACTTGAATGCGATAAGACTAAATAATGTTGGGATTGAAGTAAGACTTTTGGCATGTGACACTCGCCCATCGTTGTTCGGAGTGACATGGCCGAAGCCCTGGATACAATCTTAACCCCTTGCAGTCTGGATCCCACACCAGTCAAGAGTGGGGACCCCGCAATCCCAATGCAGCTGTGTTTTTGTTTCAGTCAGTGCTGTTTAACTCCTGTTTATTTCAGTGCCACCTTGTGGCGATGTGAAATCCGGAAGAAATAAAAAAAATAAACGTTCCCAGAATAACGCGTTCCATTGCCTCTACCGCCACTGACCATGTTTTCGGATAAAATTTTTGGTTCAAATAGGTATCGCTTATTTACTTAAAAGTTGTTTGGAAAATCAATAGCATGGACACAATATTTTGCATCCTTTCAACAGGATAAAAATAAGAATGTATTTGTCCTTCATATTTTGTCAAATCAGCGAGTTTAAGATGCAGTGATTCAGTTTTAAGTCCAATAATGCTACACGTTAATGATTCCGTACAATCACAAACCGTTTTAGTCAGAAAAGCCCCAACACGTGATGGATTCTACCCAATTGAGACCGTTATAATCAAGGTTGCTGCTATTAAAAGAAAACTTGTTCTGCACTGCAAATCGCAGCAAACAATACCAGTTGTGGTCACTGCAGGGCAAGAGTTATGTTTTGAAAAAGAGTAAGAATGACTCCGTTTAGTCAAATGAAAATTACTAATTGCTTCAAATAAGCGGAGTTGTTTCTACCGCTGTACTTCAAAATGGAAAATCCGGCTGCTGTATCAAAAACAAATGGGTCACATCCATCCATTCACTCCCATCACAAACATAACCTGTATCTCGATTTAAAGCTTTCGTGACTGCAGAGATTCATCTTCTTGGTTCTTTCGGTAAAGTCACGTAGAATGGAAATAATAAAATAATAAAAAATAAAACATTATTTTATCATTTCCATTCTACGTGACTTTACCGAAAGAACCAAGAAGATAACCTGTATCGTTAAATATTAAGCTAAAAATGTGATCTTCGTGGAAGCGCAGGGCCTCTGTCTGCATACCGACGGACTTTTAGCAACGGCGCCCGCAGCTAAGGCAGGCGACCGCATGGCTGCGCTCTGCTGACGAAGCCCAACAAAGGGCGAAAACCCGTGTATGGGGAAGCATTGTCAGTTTTTGTCCAATTGCTACTCGCGCGCGAATAAACTGTTGGCTGCTGGTACAGCTTGTGGGGACTGACGAGGGATGTGTGTATGCATTGGTGTGTGCCTCTGCATTCTCCCATTATACAAAAGACAAATATCTCCCGGAGAGCCTGTAACAGATTGTTGGGGCAAGTGCTAATAGCGAGCAGCACACCTCTGAAGGCCGGAACGGTACACGAGGCGGTGGGTGGCCAGCACCACGCCAGACCGCCTTTGTCTCTCTTGTGACGACGTTTACACACCGCACCAGGTACTCGTTTGAGGCTGAGTCGACCTAGGGGAGGAGGCCCAATGATCGGTTCAGATAATTGTCACTGGTGTTGGCCGTGAGCGGGAATCGAACCCAGGTCCCCGGGTTCATAGCGCAGCGCGCTATCCGCTCCACTACCGCTGACCGCTGCACACACACACTTCGCTGGTGTGGCTAAAAAATAATAGGGATATGTCACAAAGAAATGGCACCAGCGGAGTGCTGAGTTCCCTTTAATCTAACCAGGAGCGAATCTGACAATGTATTGACCCACGATGTTGCACCTTCTTTTATTTCAAAAAGGCAGAGGCGCCAGGATGTGGTGGTG